GTTTGTTAAAAACGCTCTCATAAATAAACAACACGCTGTGTCTATCTTTTTTTGATCTTGAAAAGGCATATGACACAACGTGGAAATATGGCATTTTAAAAGATTTACATGGCTTCGGATTGCGAGGCCGTTTGCCTCAATTTATAGCCAACTTTTTAAGGGACAGACAATTTCAAGTCCGCGTTGGTTCTACACTGTCTGACCATTACAATCAGGATCAGGGTGTCCCACAAGGCAGTATTTTGTCTGTCACACTATTTAGTATAAAGATAAATAGTTTATCAAAAGTTTTAAACGATTCAGTTGATGGATCGTTATTTGTGGATGATTTTAATGTTTCCTGTCGTGGTAAAAATATGCATACTATTGAACGGCAATTGCAATTGTGTTTAAATAAAATAAATAAATGGTGCCTTGAAAACGGCTTTAAATTTTCAAAGTCAAAAACAAATTGCATACACTTTTGTAGAAAATATAAGCCTCATGAGGACCCTGAACTAACTTTAAATGGCCTTCCCATCAAAGTTGTCAAGGAGGCAAAGTTCTTGGGTCTGATTTTTGACTCCCATTTAACGTTTCTTCCTCATATCAAATCCCTAAAAAAATAAATGCCTGAAGGCGCTCGATTTATTAAAAGTCGTGTCTCATTCAAAATGGGGAGGAGATCAATCTACCCTCTTGCATCTATATAGATCACTGGTCCGTTCGAAGCTTGATTATGGCTCAATTGTGTATGGTGGAGCCTGCAAAAGCAACCTAAAACTACTTGATTCTGTCCACCACCAAGGTCTAAGACTTTGTCTTGGGTCTTTTCGAACTTCTCCTGTTGACAGTCTCTATGTCGAGGCAGATGAGCCATCTCTTCCACAACGCCGTACCAAACTATCTTTACAATATATTACAAAACTATACTCTCACAAATCTAACCCTGCATATAACTGTATCTTCAATCCTCTCTATGAGGATTTATACACCAAGAAACCTTCTCTTGTTCCGCCTCTTGGGCTCAGAATTAAACCTTTCATTTCTGCTGCCGGCATTGAGCTGGACAATATATCTCCTTCCCGTCTTCTTTCTTCTCCTCCTTGGCAATTGGTGAGGCCAGAAGTTGACTTAACATTAACCACATTTAAAAAATCAGAAACTAATGATCTACAGTATAAACAAGAATTTAGTCAATTACGAAATAAATATAATACCTATAAATCCTTGTATACAGATGGATCCAAGGATGGTGGCGCGGTGGCTTGTGCCACTGTCATTGGGTCCAAAACAATATCTTCCAGACTACCCAATGACAGTTCAATTTTCACAGCAGAAGCAAACGCAATACTAACAGCTCTTAAATATATTAATAAACACCGTAAATATAAACAATATATCATCTTTTCAGATTCTCTTTCGTGTCTTCAGGCTATTAAAAATCTTTCTTGCAAACATCCACTTTTATTAGAAATTATTGAATTGCACAATGCACTTGCTACTGGCCAATGCGACATCGTCTTTTGTTGGTTACCCAGCCACGTTGGCATTTCTGGGAATACAATGGCTGATATTGCTGCTAAGGCAGCACTCAACAAATCTGTGACACCACTTCTGATCCCATACTCTGATTACAAAGCTGCTATAAGATCTTATATCCGTGATCTGATGCAAAAGAAGTGGGACACCCAAGTAGGTATCAATAAATTACATGCAATAAAACCCTATATCGGTTACACTTACTTGGGTTGTCAGTCCAGATTTGAAGAGGTCATTATGCGACGATGTCGTATTGGCCACACTAGATATACTCATGAGTACCTATTAAAAGGTGAGGATCCTCCGTTTTGTATCCCTTGTGATGAAAGAATCACGGTCAAGCATGTCCTGCTTGACTGTGTTGAATATTCCATCACAAGGGATATTTATTTCAACGTAAAAACTATGAAGGATCTTTTTAGTCATATAAGTTCTCATTTAATTATTGCCTTTTTAAAAAAATTAGACTTGCTAACTGATTTGTAAATACCCGGTAGATATATATTTTATTATTGGTAGTTTAAATTAGTAACTGATATTGTTAGTGGCAGTACCCTCAAAGGGGGTTGAAGTAGCGTAAAATTATTGTCCTCCTGAGAGGGTACGTAAGTCCCAAAACATTTAGTCAATTTAAGTGTACCAGGTTTTTAATCGTAGAATATGTGTACTTTTAATTTATGGCTAGGTTTCTCTTCTGTCGCCAATGGCTGAAGGGATGGTGTAAATCCAGCTAGGGTCCATGCAGGAAGCAAATGTACTGTAAGTCCCCATGGTCCCTAGTATGGTGATCTACCTTCAGTTGTTGGCGATCAATAGCCTGTTTTTTTATATTGTATCGTCTTGTATAGTTCAAATGTTTTAGATTTTTGTTACTAGTTTTATATCTATATCTGTGATAATCTAGTTATTTTACTGTCCTTCGTCGGCAGAATTTTACAATTTCACTTAAATTGTCGATATATTTATAACTTGCTTTAGTCACGATATGGCTGAAATATTGCCGATGTGACTTAAAATCTTAACTCACTCACTCACTCACTCAAATGTCAAATGTTCTCGTCACGATATGGCTGAAATATTGCCGATGTGACGTTAAATATTGACTCACTCACTCACTCACTACGAATCCTCTTCTGTGCATTGCATTGGAGCAATACCCTTTTTGTCAGAATGATTACAAATGTATAAGTTATTATATTCATATTACAACAATGTTTATGCACACACCAGTAAACATTTGCTAACTATTTAAGGTCCCAAGCATTTCATTCACATTTTTCAAGTCATAATTGAAAGAAACTCTGTTGTTTGTTTGTTGATGACATGACCTAAAATGCAACCATATTACTATTATGTTTCAAGATTCAACAGAATGGAAATGGGGTCTTTTCAAAATACGAAATTGGTTTTAGTGAAGACACGATTTAAAATGCAAACAAATCATAATTATGCATTACAGGATTATCAGCGAACAGAATGGTAATGAATTATTCAAATGCACATTTTGAACGCTTCTAATTGTGAAACACCGTGACTAATTATAAAGTACTGTCTGAAATAGAAAACAATTACTTTTGGCTGTTATTCTGTATCCCTAATTAAATGTACACAATTGCAAATAGTATATGTCGAAATAGCCAACATCAACTGGGCGTTCAATGGTATGCGTAATAGGATATCCAGAAAAAACATGTTTACTCGTAAAATCGGGCAAAACTTACGAAAAAATACGAATAGCTTCTGAAAACAATAGAGTGAGTGAGTAAGTTAAAATTTAACGTCACATCGGCAATATCTCAGCCATATCGTGACGAGAACAATTTAATTGATATCAATATCAGAAACAATAAATTGAGAATATAAAATCCTGTCAGCGAAGGACAGTAAAACTACTAGAATATCACAGCTCTTAATTTAAAACTAGCACACTATCATAAAAATATATCACTATACACAACAACACAATATATAAACAGGCTATTGATCGCCAACAACTGAAGGTGGTGTCCTCCCATTACGCAGACAGCCAGTTCGCAGACACCTTAAAACAACATTTACGGTTCAGTGAACAGATTATCTACTACCTGTTACCTACACATTAGTGGAATAGTCCAAATAAAAACACAGGAACAAACTGAAGCTATATTATTTATTTTGAATTTTTATTGCTGCAATATAAAAACAGTTTATTTTCATAAACATTTCGGTTTAACCTTCTAGTCTAACGGGAGTCGGCATCATCATATTGTAAACATTAGCTTAGCTATTAGAAATTAGAATGGCAAAACCTACCGTCTAATTCTTTCCCCCATGAAACACAGTCGGGTATGACAATTGATAATAATGAAGTGAACGTCAAGACGTCTCTTCAAGAGGCCGCGTTAAAGAGCCGTCATACGTTGCTCTGATCGACGGCGGTATGTCACACCATCACACCCGACAGTGACGATGTCAGTTCAAGGTCACTGGACACTGATAGGAGACGCTTCACTGATAAATGTGTTCGTCTCACTTTATATAGTAAATATTATGTGTGTGATTGTTGTGTCAGACTTTCCTTCGGTTGTAAGCGAATCCGTATAGGTAGGGGATTCAATCTGAATAGAATCAGGTCTTTGTTCTCTCTTTGGGAAGATGCCAGGACATTCCGTTAAGTCAGAATGACCCTTCGACGACCAATTGCGTAGATCGATGCTCATGCTGTTGATCACTGGATTGTCTGGTCCAGAATCGATTACTTACAGACCGCCGCTATATAGCTGGAATATTGCTGAGTGCGGCGTTAAGCAACAAACCAACCAACCCTTCCACCGACCAATCAGAGCGTCGCTCACCAACTAGGAAAAATGCAAATCATCGTCACAGTTGGAACTTGTTTTCTAATCATGCAAGCTCGATGGCTAACACGGTTGTATTCTAATGGACAGTTCTGGTTTGTTCAATAGCGCGTTGGAATGAAAACTATCTCGACCATATATTAAACATTCAAACAAAAATTCTTTAGTTCAGCGTTCCAATTTTGAATCGAGATCTTTGCCTAAATACGTTTTAAGCGTAATGGAATGGAGGTCGCTGGGCTGAAGGCTACAAAATCCTGCTTTCTGCTTGGCTTAAGTAAATTTGAGTTCGATATGTTAGTCACTTCATTGGTCGTTCAAAATTCGCTATAGGTCGTTCGGATGTGATCTGGAAGGGGGAGACCTCAGAATTTTGTTTAGCGGTGGAAAGACCACAGATGTGATTTCGATGAAATTGTAGTTGATATTACCATCTTTTAAGGCCTTTAGTAGAGAATGAAACTGTGTATGTTGAATTGTATAAATGACATTTACAACAAAATTACAATGATACATAAGTTTTATTACTTGTTACAATATGGTTATCTACATGAAGTATGAGACCAGAGAAGAGAAGATCATATGTGATAATCTCTCATTTACGGAAAGTTTGGCTGCCTCAGACGTCGCATTACTCTGGACTCAGTTTTGTCCAGATCCACGAGTGTTTGACACAACAACTTTGGGCTGGGGAAAGTTAGCCCTCTTCACATCAGTATGTACCCACAGTTGAACACCTTCTCTTTCTTTCAGAGGGGGTAGACACTTCGCGAATTGTCGGGATGTCGGGTCTTTCTGAAAGACAAACATATTACTGCATTGATTTGACAATATGTTCTATCGCTGCAGAACACAAGAACACTAAAACTATACTGCAAGTGATAAACAAGACCCCTGACCTGTGAAGATCCGGGTTAGAATTGTTCTTCAGCAACCCATGCTTGCCGTCAGAGGCGACTAACGGGATCGCGTGGTCAGACTCGCTTGGTTGACACATGTCATCGCATCCCAAATTCGTAGATCGATGTTTATGCTGCTGATTATTGGATTGTCTGGTCCAGACTCGATTATTTACAGACCGCCGCCAAAAACTATAAAACAGCTGCTCCAGTCGCCTACGTTCTAAAGCACCGCAGCCGCGATTCGCTTAACTGAGTTGCGTACCTTGACCACGCCAGAAACCTGTGATGGTCGACTCGAATTGTGCTTCCAATTCTGTTTCTATGGTTATCAGCACCATGCCAGTTCTGAATATCAGCAAAAAGGTTGAACGTCTTCGGATGCATCACTTCGGGCTTTCCTCCAAGAGGAATTATCCTAAGCGTTAAACCAAAACTAATTCACTCACTCACTCAAATTTACTAAAACAATAGCTGATGCAGAACAGTCATCACACGTTCATATTTCTCTGCACATACATCCTAATACTTATTATGTACAATATGATACGCAATGCAAAATTGGAAACAGCCCGAATACACGTTTTCCTGAATGCATTGAAACGTTCTAGAGAAACGTTTATCAGGAATGATATGGACCTCACCAAATCAAGTGATAGTTGATCCAAGCAATACATGTATTTATTCAACTCTCAATCCTTCACCTTGTTCAGTTAGAAAACAAAATACGGCTGCAATGGGCCATGGTTATAAAACCAACAACAAACCGGCACGAAGCTCTTGGTACCTCAAAAAGAAAGAATTGTGCACTTTCGGTTGGAGAACCCTGCAGAATATGGAACAATAAAATCAACGACAATAACATCCTTACTTGGAAAGGATGCCGAATACCCACCTCAATAACACCAGTGTCTTTCCGTGCAGATAGCTGCGTTTATATGACAGTATTGTGTCTTTGTTTTCTAATGACACTGAACTGTGATGGAATCCATTTTCTGCCAATAATTATGTTCATCTTTCAAGGCAGTGTTACACATGAACAATTCAGAGTTAAAGGAGCCTACTGTTGTTAATAAATTAAAGTTTGTTAAGAGAACTGCTGTGACGAAAGAGTTATATGTTTCACAAAAACGTTGTTGTTTTTCTGTGTTCTCATGAATTGCAGCAACATTACTTGCGGCACTGGCCATGCATCTGATTCTAATCTGCTTTTGACTATAGCCAACCTTCCCATGATTTACAATTATATACACATTTTCACAGAGGTCTTTTTGGTGAAGTGAGTGATCTTCACCTTCACGATCTGAGCAAGTCATTCTGTTAGACAAATTCTGGATACATTATATTGTGATTTTGCAATATTGTGACCTTATCATCATCACATGAAGCGCATGTACAATGTGAATAGATCGGCAGCAAATTCGACAGCGAGCTTTTAAGAGTTACCTTTCTTGTCTGTTTGTGTACACCAAGACAGAAAACAACATGCAAGGTTTTTGGATGTGACAGTTTCTAGACGGTCCAGCAAACCCATTTAAAGACGAGGCTGGGGTTATTCTACTATCCTAAACGCGTCTGTGCCAATACACATTTTGTTGGTTGTCAAATCTATTACTTTTAGATATGTTTTTAGTCCACTACAGTAGTTAAACTGTATTTCACCAGCTTATTTATCTGATCGGTTCACACCAGTGGTTTATATCATAGTCATGTGTCATGTTCTCGAGGGCACGTCGAGTCTGACCATCCGTTCACATGTATTCACCTTTTATGACAAGAAATAAAGTTTTGAGGGGTTATTTCAAACCGCCTCCGCTCATGTCCAAAACTAAATCGTTTAACCATACCATGTGTCGAAGCCACATTTGAAGCTTGGGAAAAGCTGTAAAAGAAACTATCCAAGTTTTTTGGAATGTCCTGTACCTTGTCATCTGCTTAGCATCTTCAATGGTATCCGGGAGTGGAGCATTCCAAGTTTCAGGCAACGCCAATGTTGCCAATCCAGCCAGTACCATGAACATACCGAACATAAGAAGAGGAAGCGCCCGACCAAAGTCTCCTGATATCACTAGAGCCTGTTTAACAACAGAAATTATACCGAATCAGAAAGAGATTTGTTATGTTGTGTTTGTTTGTTGTTTATTGCTACACTCAGGTGTACGAAGGCGGTCTGTTAGTAAATACGTCTGGACCAGACAATCTGCTGATTGACATACATCGACCAACTCAGCGAGCGTGGCCACTCGATCTTGTTAGCTGTGTCTTACAACAAACATGGGTTGTTCAAGAAAGTTCTAACAATTCTTAATGGATTATCCGGTATTGCGGCATGATACATGAGAATATATTTTACTCCCTAGATGTTGATGTTGTCTAAACGCTGTCGTTATTTCAATCTGTAGATGTTGCTGGTGATAAAGACTCACCCTGATTTTGATCCTTGTTACCTTGCCAGATGCTCTTATCTTTCTTATGTTCTTACTATCTAATATAATCTATAAACCGTGCTGTCTAATCATTAAACTGCTGGTTAAAATGAATCAAACAAGATATGCTTGGTTACGCCACGATGATGCGACTGATACGGGTATGTTTCGGCAACTGATTCCAGGCTTCGTCACCTTCTGATAACGTTTGTAATATTCATTTTGTCAATTCCAATTTTCATTTGTATACCTTTTTTTGCTCAACGGTGTACTCTGCTCAATATGAATGTGATGTTAAGTGGACAAGACATTACCATTCTTGGAATCTTTTACAAATATCATATACATATTGCTAACGAAAATGATGAGAAATTGTACATTGGACGTACTAGATTGGCTATGTAAGGCGATATAGTTCCCCCCAACCCTGCCAAATATGTTAGAAGCTGCCAGAGCCGAGTTCCTGATGACAGTGGGGAATAGCTCTGAAGAATACAGCCAGACGACGTCGAAACTGGCCACTGCAAAACCCCGACCAGTCAAAGCTAGAGCTATCGTCATCCAGTTGAGAGCTAAAGAACAGAATTTATTGCATAATGTGTACACATTTGTTGTGATAGTTAATATTTCAAAGATATATTTCATAGTATGTTTGAAAACAGAATTAATGTTCTCCAATAACCTCAATATGTCCAGCAATAACTTAAAATCCTCTTCTCCGTAATACAAGACAAATCGTATGGATAACAACTTCTTGATTTATTTTTCACAACGTTTCTGCGCTAGTTCTTGCCCCTTCTTCACCCGGAGCCTGGACAACGCAAAGTAATGACTGAAAGCTTAAAACCCTACATGGTCAGGAATCACTAATAATTATTGATTCCCGTAATGTTTTAACAATTTACAAGCTGCATATATGATTCAAAATAGATTAATGGATAAATATACCATTACTCAATATAAGTAAACCTTACACACATCGCCATACAGTACAGGCAGAATTGTCGCTGTGCAGCACACCCCGCCAAGGATCATTGTAGTGCAAAGAAAAGACTTCCTCCCGATGCGGTCGAGGAGAAGAAGGCCGGCAATGTGGCCTACCAGCTCAGCCGCGGATGAAATGTAGAAGTTTGTGTAGACACTTCCCCCAAGATTGGCCACATTCAGGCCAAGGCCATAGAAGCCGATAGCAACAACGAACCTAGGGAATCATAAAAGGACGGAAAGCGTTTGAAGCAGGTCAAACTGTTTTACAAGACTCCAAGACTATAGCACGAATTTCTTGCTTAGCAACAAGAGAAGCGTAACAATAACATCATCCAGGATTGTAATCAGCCTTTCGTTTCTATTGACACAAGAACATATAGCAGTCAAATAGTCATCTGCGTGTTTGATAGCCACATGACATGTTTCAATTTTGACCACATTGCAACCCGACTGTAAATGGGCATTCAAGGTACGCAATCGGAGAAGAGGTTGGTCACATGATACCTACAACAAACCCACATAAACGGTCCCTTAAAGGGAGTGATGCAATATTGTGACAAGAATAATTTAAACTGTCACGCAAAGGGGAGTCATGGATGTCCTGGAACTGTCCACGATGGGATTTTGTCTAATTGCATATGGTGGTGAAAATATCATTTCGTCACTGAAGTTATAATAAAATGTATCTATAAAGATCAAGTAAGTGTTGTTGGTTGCTACCAGTTGAAAAACATCACCAGGCTCCGTAAAGCCAAAGTCGGATTTGTGAATATCAAGCGCAGCGGTTTCTCCGTTGTGAAATCTAACATGTCTCCGCTGAATATGTCTGAGGGCAAGTTCGTCTTGTTGACCTTGGCAGCGTGACGTAATATCCGGTCTGCTTCTTCATACTTCTTCTTACTGATCAGCCAGCGTGGAGACTCTGGCATGAACCTAAAACCAATAACACATGCAGTGTGATTAAATGCACATGGACTAATATCGACAACAGAACAATAATAGAATACGGTCAAAGAAAACATTGACAGGCCGTCGTGCCTATCCTTAAAATGGCATTGCAAAGGAAATGGGTTACTGGAACTCTAACGGATAACAAGCATATTTCCATCACAGCGCCATGATTTATTCCGTTACCAGGACCAGAGTGATGTCAAGGTCATCATTAGGGTCATAGGACACAAGAAAAGTCAGTTAATGACTATAATGTCAGTTTACAGTGAAGGTGATGCGTGAAGGTTACGTAACCCAGTAACTGAGTCTGAGCTCCCGATCCATGCTCCTCCTCTCTTAGAACAAGCAACGAGTATATGGAACCACGAACCTGGGTACCCGCGGATCTAGATTCTTTGACTAAGGCTCTTACTACAAGCATGGTGTGGACAGTGAAATCCCTTTCAGCAAATGTGTGAATCCGGTCTCAAGTGTTGGAATTCAGTTCATGTAACTGTCAACTAGACATTCATTCAGAGAACTTGAAATGAAGGTTTCTGATGGGTTTGCTTGAGTTGATACAATTTAGTGATTGAGGAGTTTGTTCAGTAGGTATCATTGACTTTCATGATGTCAGCAGAAGAGGTAAAGGTGAACGACCAAATTGCATTACATTTAGTGGTACCAAACCTCAATTATTCATTTCACGTATTACGAGCACGGCTTGCAAATGATACTAAGAGTATGTATTTGATGTGCAAGATTCTACCAAGGTTTCAGTGTCACGAGCGTGCCTAAACATGATAATGATTTTATGTAAAGTGTAAGGTGATATGTGTGGTTGTAGTCTTCATCCTGGTCAGAGGTAAAATATGCCGTATTCCTGTGTTGTCTTATTATTGTGCATAGGTCATGGGCAATAAATACTAAAGCTCAAAAGGTGCCTCTCAGTATACAATAAAATCTATTAAAATCTATTCTATCTTTCCTTCCTTCAATCAATTCATACAGCAAAAAATATTACGTATTCCCACAATGTTCTCGTTCACATGACTTACCAGTGATATACTACAAACAGGGTTGTACATTTGCCCTTCCAAATACCTGGAATTTAAAATGACTTTCGGCAAATATTGAGGCCACACCTTGGATTATAACATTGGCTGTTTGGTAGATCCATTACTCACCTGATGTTCCACGAGCACTTCTTGTAAGTGATACTTAGCGGCAATGTATTTGAAGTGTAAGATCACACCAAGGTCTGCAGTGTCACGAGCGTACCTAATGCTTATGATTTTGTTAGTGTTAGCTGATAATGTGTGGTTGCAGTCGTCATCCTTATCAGAGGTAAATTAAACCTTATTCCTGAGTTGTCTTTTTATTGAGCATATGATTTGGACGATAACTCCTGAAGCTCAAAGGGTTCCTTATAATTTAATATTTATCAAAAAACACATTGCTTCTTTGGTTTCAGCCTTCCTTCCTTCCTTTCATAAGTCCATACATGCAGAAAGAAAATATCACACACAGTTCACATTCACACGACTTACCAGTGATATACCACAAACAAGACCGTTGGTACAGAAACGATCAGCTGCAGGCGCTGCCAATCTCGCACAAAGAATGCGAGCGTTGCTGTTATAAATGAACCACATGTCCAAAACAGTTCACATACGATGCCCGTGTATACTCGCTTTGAAGGCCCAACCAGCTCCACGCCTGCAATCAAACACAAATCCTTTACCAAATACACTTAACTGTGTTGTTTTACGTCACATTCAACCATAATCCAGATATACGACGGTTTGTAGCAACTGTTGTAAAAAGCTAGACCGTCAGAGTCACATGTTCCGCTTTCAGTTAGGTCACACAGAATGAACAACACGGCGTCCCTCCGTTTTGACCCGGAAGTGGATTAAGAGCTCCTACCTACGACAAAGGCGTTGCCCCAGATGGCGATGCCGGACATCCCGTTGATGCAGTACAGAAGACCGAGGATGGCGAAGTTGGGGACAAAGGCTATGGAGATGGCGGACACAATGTGTAGGATGACCGATCCCATAAACATCTTCTTCCTTCCGATGCTGCAGGAAAGACACAGATCACACGTGATACTAGCAAAATAATATGTATGTACCACACGCTTTGAAAGTGTTTAAACTTAACTGGATAAAAGAATGACGCGAAATTTGCACCGTTAAACCCCAGAATCACGTAAATAAAATGTTAAGCTTTCTGTAAACCTTTATGGCTTCACTCTGCCGATGTCTATCTATTTATCTATCTGTGTCAGTGCCACGAGTGGGGCAAGACTTCAACCAGATTCCAATTCCCATAGCCGATTCATCCTTCAAGTCATAATAATGGAAGGATAAATGATGTTGGTGATATATGTTTATACAAATTGTTTTGTCAGTGTTTTTACATAGTACAATTGTATTTTTAAGTACCACCCGATCGCGATTGGGAAAGAAATATTTTATCTATATGCATTTGTTTAAGCAGCGATGTGGTGGTCGTTGATACCTGTATATTAATATTCCAAATTGATGGTCGAATTAGTTTTCAATAACTCACAAGGAACTTACAAATCTGCCGGGGACAACAACAACACACTTCCAACAAGTAGTCCAAGCATAAAGATGGTCTGGGCATGGGTCCGTGTCAGCTCAGAGTCACATACCCATCCAAACTGGAAATGTTGGAACAATCGCTGAACTTTTTTAACGAGAAGAAACAATATGTTGTATATTCTCTATAATAACAGCACAAACGTACATAAAATATCTAAAAAGAAATTACTTACTAATGTAAGCAGTAGTTTCAGTGAATCATCAATATACCACGTTGATATCGATTGAGTCTTAACAGGAACACCAATGGTTGAAGGCATGAACAGGGATCAGCGCTTCAGGGGTACAACATCAGCCAGACTGATTGAACCAGCAACCCGGTTTCCATTGTATGCGAGTCGTTCTTCAAACAAGAGATACTTGTGAACTCGTCAGTCTCACAATTGTAAAATCACTTCTTTTGGTTTGACGTTTTATTTGTTTGCTGTTTGTTTATATCAAGGCTGCATTCTAGAATATCGTCGAAAACATAAAAAGGGATAGCTTTACTTAATTTACTTCTTTGAAATATAGAAACTTTACCGACAAACCTTTGTAACAATAGTTGAACTAAACATATCCTTGTCGTAAACCCATTTTTCACATTTTCTTGAAGTATTTGTGTAAATACCATCGCCATTTGTGTCATTGATGACATTATTAATAAAACAGGAAGAGTAGAGTTGTGTCCCTTCATTGGATAAAGGAATGGCTGCGTTGACGGCGCGCGCATGTTGTTCCCCCTGAATGGCGTACGTGTCGTTGTCCCAGTCAGGCAGAGCACACCTGGACATAATGAAACGTGGCTATAGTCGAGACCTTGGAATGAGACAACCAGTGTGAGCGTCGTCATGGCTGCCTACCAGACAGACAAAACTATTAGTTACGGTCATCCCCTTCGTCATCATGTCATCATGACAGTGGAATGTATATTCCAGTCATGCAGCCCCTGAAAGGTATTCCGAACTACAGTAACGATCTCTACTACTGATTCCGTCAAAATCACCACCATCTTCTCTCACGGTCATCTACTCACATCACAATGTGATTTGTACATCGAGAACTGCGCTAACATTTATTCAGGGAAAGTCGCAAGTCACTAGTGCAATGTATCTGTAAAATGCTGCTTTCTGACTGGCTAATGGAATTTCACTGGTTGGACAAGTTCGTGATAACTGTGAAGTGACTTGTAATGGGATATCCTCATGTCTTTATTAAGCGGTAGCGAGAATGTTATTCACATAGGACATTTAAAGCAAAACAAAGAGAAATGTTTTTAATGAAAATGCAATATTATACTTTATATGAAAGAAATATAATTATAGAAGATGAGCATTTAATTGTTGGCGGATACATTAACCAAGTTATTGATAACAATATGTAGTTATGTACCTGTGTTCTGGCACACCCAGTGTGAAGACTGTCATCATGGTCTGGATCCCGACTGATATCATAGGAATGCATAGCAGGAAGTAAAGCCTCTTCTGGTAGGGGCCAAAGTCACCAAGGAGCTTCACGATGTCTTCAAACTTCATCTTCGAACCTGAGAGATGGCTTATGAGTACATTGTATTTTACTATCACATTCAACAGGCGCCTGCACTGGTCGTAGGGCACAGGCGACCCACTGGTATGAATGTCAGAACGTGCTTTCCATAATTTGGAATCATTACAAACCTCCACTCGCAACTGAGATCAGTGAAGTGCTAAATCTTCAGACGAAATCGTAGTCTTTGCAATCCCATTCACGCTTCATTTATTTCAGCACACAGGAAACATCCAGTGTTTCTCCAGGGCTCCAAATTCGGCAAATGTGTGCTATGATGGAGAATGTGTCTGTCTGTGCCCGTGTCTCTGTGACCGGTGCAGGGGAATTACATAAAGACCCAACGGAATACCAATGATTACGGGAAATATTTTACAACTAAGATAATGTGTAACACAACAGGCAAGTGTCCCGGCCTGGGAGGCTAATCCAGCGTGACTGATGTACTGTCCACTGTCCCCCCAGACTGACCGCTGCATGTCTTGTTAGGGAGCCATATTTTACCACAAGTCAAAATGTTACACTGGACACTAACGAGGAAAATGAAAAAGATTAATGTGGTGGGTTTGAGCTTACTTTAGGTCCTACCGGCCTTTTACATGACTCTATCACAGAGTAACACCACTTTCTGAGGTTTAAATTGTTATTTTCAACTGAGAAATATACGGTGGAATACTGCTGATGAGGCAAATGTACACATATACATATCTTTTCATGGGCGGATGGCCTGCACGCAGTATAACCTTAAATCAGAGTTATGTTGCTATCATGAAGGTTATTTACGACAGCGGCTGAATGGCGTGATGACAATCGCCAAACCAGTGTAACATACTTTCATTGCATTCTCGAACTTCGGTGGGGTATCCTAGTGGTTAAAACTTTCCATAGTTCGATTGCCCACATGGATATATTGTGTGAAACCCATTTCTGGTGCCCCTCGACGTGATATTGCTGGAATATTGTTAAAAGCGGCGTAATAAATTACTCTCACTCGAACTCCGGCCCTTTTTTTCTCGTCACTGTTTCACCGACGCCTAGGTAAACTGATTGAAGAATGGAGACTTTAAAGATTGTAAAATCATATTTGTACTCCAAATATTGATACAAGAATCAATCAATTACTCACACTTAGAATTGCACATTTGATTGTACTGGGGTTGTAGGGTGAGTGAGTTTGGTTTTACGCCGCTTTTAGCAATATTCAAGCAATATCACGGGACACCAGAAATGGGCTTCACACATTGTACCCATGTGGGGAATTGAACCTGGGTCTTCTGCGTGACGAGCGAACGCATTAACGACTAGGCTACCCAACACCCCACTTTGGTTGAACGTGATGGAAGGGGGAGCAATTGAATTGGGTTCTTGATTTTAGCACATCGTATCCTTTGACGTCACGTGATGTATCCATGAGGCAGACATAACCACAGGTCCTACAGTGACGGGTCAACATCTCAACCACTGAGCTACCTCATCGCAGCCGACGTTTATCTTGGGTACAATCAAATACAACTGTTCATAGCAGTAGATGTACTGTTATTTTATTGGTTACTTGATTGATTAAGACATTTTTGGACCAGGCAGGAAGCAAATGTACTGTAAGTCCCCATGGTCCCTAGTATGGTGATCTACCTTCAGTTGTTGGCAATATATAGCCTGTTTTTATATTGTATTGTCATCTATAGTTAAACTGTTTTAGATTTAATTACCAGTTATAAATTCGTATCTGTGATAATCTAATTATTTTACTGTCCTTCGTTGACAGATTTTTAGCATTTACCATTAATTACTATGTATAACAATGAATGGTTCTCTTCACGATATGGCTGAAATATTGCCGATGTGACGATAAATTGTAACTCACTCACTCACTCACTCACTGATTTTAAGAAATGACTTCATATTATCAGAAGAGTCCGTAATATGTTATCTACACCGACATGACAAATGTGACCGTGAGTCATCACACACTAGTTAGGACAGAGATGGGATTTTCCATACCCATATAAACCTGTGGTGGAAAGTTCACATAGTTGAATGGCTGGACGTGACTAGCATCCAAATATCGACTATATGTTTAGTCAGTCTGTTTCTTACAACCAGCCAAATATGTCATTTTGTGTGTTAACCCTTTCCAAAGAGGAGTCATTCTGTATGTAAACTCTCACTATAGTTATTTGTTACTTTGTTTGTTATCCGTTCCATAGTGCTATAACATTTCGTTTCTTAATACTTCTCTAGTAACATGCCATTTTGTTTGTTAATCATAGTAACATGCCATTTTGTTTGTCAATCATTTTCACAGTACCATGTCATTTTGTTTGTTTATCCTTTTCCCGGCACCATTTCATTTTGTTTGTTAATCATTTTCATATTGTAAACCAAAACTCACTATGTTCTTTAATCTGATTGGTTGAAAAACATGATCAACTGGTATTCGATTCCCGGAAATTCGCTACGTTTTAATACATACAAACATCGCTGACACCATTGTATTGTTACGTCGCCAGCTGTGATGACGTCATTCAAATCATATTGTGAAGTAAAGTCCGGATGACGTCACAAATGAGCAGTTCCAGATGGTACCATGGGAGACAGCCGAAACGGCCGGTTGATGACATTTCACTGTTGTACCCTTACTCGATGTCAATGAGTGCAGACACAAAAACGTGTGTAGACCTTTTGGTTTACTTTTGTGTTTACATTGTCGATAAACATCATGTGTTGGCCAATTTCCGGGTGTTATTGAGTATTTGAAGCGCGGGGATATTTCATTTGAAACCTCCGGCTGACGCCGTCGGTTCCCGTGCTTCAAATACTCAATAACACCCGGAAATTGGCCAACACATGATGTTCACCATTTTGTTTGTTAATCTTTTCCATAGTGATGCCATTTTCTTTGTTAACAAACAAAATGACATGTTACACACAAAGGTCTACACACGCGTTTTTGTTTGTTTTGTTTGTTTAATCATGATAGTCTTCAAAATCCTGAAAGGCCGATGTTGACCTTTATCTCCACTATCTAGTATTTACGGACGTAAGGGAGCCCGTGTCCGTTGTACAGACGGACAAACCCTCTCTGAGAATCAAAGACTTTGTCAAGCTCAATGGAATGAACGTCTTTAGGCTGCTTTTTGTTCCAAATGCTACAACAAACTGATTTCTAAGTTAATGATAATGATACATCTTATATTTTGATTAATATCATCTACAACAGAATCACATGATAAATATGTTTTATTATCTGTTACAACATGGTAATTGAAATGAAGCATAAAACCAGAGAAAGAAAGACCATTCGCGAACATTTCTTCTCTTTCTTTCAGAATGGGTAGATACTCCGTGAATTTTCTGGATGTCGGTTCTTTCTGAAACACAAAAATACTACTGCCTTACTCGACTATATGTGAGGACGCAGCAAAACACTAAATCTATCCTGCAAGTGATTAACACGGCTGCTCCAGTCGCCTACGTTCTAAGGCACCGCTTTACAGAGTTGCGTACCTTGGCCACGCCAGAAACATGTGATGGTCGATTCGAATAGTGGTTTCTGTTTCTAGGTTTATCAGCACCATGCCAGTTCCCGTTGGTTTCAGCAAAAGTGTTAAACGTCTTTGGCCTGCATCACATTGGGCTTCCCTCGCCGTCATACAGGCGTTAAACAATCCCCTACTCACTCAGTCGCCATATTGCAAGTATTCGTACTTTCAAACTGCATAAGCAAGACAAGGTCTTTCTAGACATGGATGAAACTTCAAAAATAGCTGATCCAGTACAGGCATCAAATTACATATTTCTCTGCACATATATCCTAACATTATGTGAAAACATGTAACACGAAGCAAATATGTGAACAGTCCCGAAACCACTCTTTCCTGAATGCCTTGAAGCATTTTAGAGAAATGCTTATGAAGAACCATATGGACCTCAACAAATCAAGTGATAATTGATCCAGGTATTACATGTCTTGATTCAACTTGATATTATATCTGAAACTAATGCTATAAAACAAACCGACACTTAGCTCTCAAAACCAACGAATTATGGCCATGCATCATAATTCTAATCTGCTCTTGTGTATAGCTAATGGTCCCTTTCAAAGATTTACAATTACACGATATCCATTTTCACAGAGCGTGTTTTGTTGAAAGAAGCGAGCTTCATCTTCATAATTTCAGCCAGTTATCCTGCTTGACAAGTTCTAGATATAATGTTTTATTGTGATGTTGCAATATTGTGAGTTAGTACTGTTGAGCTTTAAGCTTTATTGGCATCAAATGAAGCGCTCGCACAATGTGACTTGGTAGTTTTCAAAGAAGCAAAATTAGCGTGACCTTTCTTGTCTATTTGTGTACGGCAAGGTGTTTGGAAGTGACAGTTTCTGGAAGGATGGGTATACCTATTTAAAGGGGAGACGTCGACGAGGGTGATTTGAGTCCTTCTTCGACCCAGATCGCAATTGTGCCAATATAGTGTAGATGTGGTGACTGGGGAAAATAGCTCATAATTCAGACAAACAGTATATTGAAGATTATGAAAGATAGGTTGAGTTCAAACTTCTTTAGTTGGTTATACAAGACATGACATAAACAAGTATACATGACTGAGGTGAGCGGAGTTCAAGCTCAGCTCCAGGGCGTTTCCTACGAGCGGCATTATCCTGTCGGCAGTCTCCTCACACAGACAGTCGGAATACCGGACTCCTTGACAATATAGATGTGAGCATACAGTTTTTGACAACAATGGACAGGGGAAGACTCAACAATGGACAGATAGAGAAACAATAGCACTTCTTTGAACCAGTTGATGTGATGGCAGACACGGCCAAGGGGGATGACAAGTTAAGGCTATAAATGTCAAATGTCTTATACAGTAATTAATGTAAGTGACAGAGTGGTACAGAGTGGCTGACAAGACCAGGTATACTGCAGTAGTGATAAGGTGTAAGAATGCAGATTAAATAATCAAAATGAAGTCTCACTTGGCTTAGCTACATACTTTTTGTTTTCCAGAACTATTTGGACGATGGCTGTCATGATTTAGACGCTATAACAATAGGGTACGCATTTACACGTATTTGACACATATTTTTTCTTTTCATTTTTTTCATTTCACTGCAGTAGATAAACTGTGTTTCATCAGCTCATGTTTCTCGTCGATTGAAACCAGTGGTTGATATCATAAGACATATGCCAGGTTCTCGAGGGCACATCGAGTCATATACTTACATTTTACAACAAGCTAGAAATAAAGTGTTGAGGGATTATTCCAAGCTGTCTCCGCTCATGGTCAAAACCAATCGTCTGATGATATCAGGTGTCGAGACCACCTTTGTAGCTTGGTAAATATATATATATATATGAAACAAAATATCGGAAATGGTCTGCTTACATGCATCTTTTCATCTGCTTAGCATCTTCAATGGTGTCCGGGAGTGGAACATTCCAAAGTTTCAGGCAACGCCAGAGTTGCCAATCCTGCCAGTACCATGGACGTACCGAACATAAGAAGAGGAACAGCCACACCAAAGTCTCCTGATATCACTAGAGCCTGTTTAACAACAGAAATTATACCGTATTAAAGATATATATTTGTTATTGTGCTTGTTTGTTGTTCATTTATATAAAGGAGGTATGTACGTTTCCAAGTCTGAACCACACAATCCACTGATTGACATCATCGATCTAAGCAACTGGGTTACGATGACATGCATCGACCTAGTCAGGGGGCCTGACCACTCGATCCCGTAGGATGTTTTTTACGAAAAGCATGGGTTGTTGAAGACGAGTTCTAATCCGGATATTCATGGATTAGCTGTTATTGTGACATGATACAAGATAGATATTTCAATCTGTAGATATTACTGGTGATCAAAGATTCACCCTGAATATGGTTCTTGTTACCTTACCAGTCGCACTTACCTTTCGTGTGTTCCTCGTGTCAGAAATAATGTCTAAACCGTGCTTTTTAACTCATAAACTGCCAGGTAAAAGATGGAATACACCAGTGTTTGTTTGTGGTGTAAAATGGAGCAACAAGATACGCTTGGTTATTCCATGTTCATGAGTTCCATGCAGGTATCATAGGCGCTGTTGGACCTTACGTTGGTGATGTTTCGGCAGCTGATTCCAGCTTCGTCACCTTCTGGTAAGGTTTGTAATATATATTTTGATCATTCCAATTTTCAGTTATATACTGTCTTTTGCCCAGTATACTGTTCTTTGCTTAATAAAAATAAAAATTGTAAAAAGGACGTACCAGATTAGCTATGTAAGTCGATATAGTTCCCCCAACCCTGCCAAATATGTTAGCAGCTGCCAGGGCCGAGTTCCTGATGACAGTGGGGAATAGTTCTGAAGAATACAGCCAGATGACGTCGAAACTGGCCACTGCAAAACCCCGACCAGTCAAAGCTAGAGCAATCGTCATCCAGTTAACAGCTAAAGAGAAGATAGTTAATAGATATTTATGATGCAGTTATTATATTTGCTGTGATAATAATTATTTCAAGGATATGTTTGATTGAAAAATTAAATCAATATTATCCAGAGGTCACTTCACACCCGAAGTGGGCGAGACAGTGAAATAGATAACAACATTCACATCGACATTGTGCATAATCGAAACTGGATAAAATATTGACTGAAAGTTTAACCAAAGCTCCTGATAAGGTATTCCCTGCTGCCATTTCCTAGCAACATCAGCTGGCTGCTATGACAAGAATTAGCACCTCGTGACCCTCCATTGCCAGGAATCCCAATAATTATCCCATAAATATGTAACAATGTACAAACAATATATTATGTGATTCAAAATAGATAAATACATTAATATAAATAAGGCTTACACACATCACCAAACAGCACAGGAAGAATTGTAGCTGTGCAGCACACCCCGCCAAGGATCATTGTAGTGCAAAGAAAAGACTTCCTCCCAATGCGGTCAAGGAGAAGAAGGCTGGCAATGTGGCCCACAAGCTCAGTGGCGGATGAAATGAAGAAGTTTGTGTAGACACTTCCACCAAGATTGGCCACATTCAGGCCCAGGCCATAGAAGCCGATAGTGACAACGAACCTAGGGAAGTATACAATGATTGAGAGTGTTTTAAGTTGATCCTTATTCGTGATGGAAGGTCAAAAATGTGTTCTAAGACTCCTAGGCTTGGGCACTTTCTTATATGACACAAACTCAAACTCTTTTATTCTAAAAAAACAAACACTCTTGGTGGTACAAGAGAAACATGATTAAACTTTTACAATGCTGAACAACAAGAGAGACGTACAATATTCAGCATGATTTCAAATTCTTTGACAAGATTCATGTCTAAAGCGTGCCTTCAAATCTCGAGACTTACGATCAATATTATTTAAAATAACATGGGAAGTAATATTGCACATGCTGCAATATGGATATCTGTTCAAAACAATTCAAAATCTGGTCTGTTGAAAATTCATTCAAGTCACCATCTGATCAGTGTTCAGTGTACATCCTCAGCCATACAAACTTGAAGAAATGTTAACCAGTACACTTGAGACACAGAGATAGTTCAACATATTCCTCGAACACTAGCCCCTATCAGAAGGCTCTACAGCTAGACATTCAACATCCACCTCATCTAGGGCGGTGTCAGTGTTCGGTTCGACGACTCAAGGACAAGCAGAAAGTCAAATCGCCATTTGTATGTTCGACAAAAACATGTCATGTTTGCCTGATCGCCACATTGAAACTCGACGACAAATATGCATTCAATGTACGCAGTCGGAGAAGAGCATGATGAGGGTTGTTTGGTCATGGATGTTCTGGAATTGTCTACGATGTAATGTTGTAATATTGCATATTATCGTGATGAAAATTTCATTTTTCTTCACTGAAATAATACCGAAATCTATAAAGATCAAGTAAGTGTTGTTGGTTCCTACCAGTTGAAAAACACAGCCAGGCTCCGCAAAACTAAAGTGGGATGTGTGAATATCAAGCGCAGCGGTTCCTCCGTCGTCAGTCCTAACATGTCTCCGCTGAATATGTCTGAGGGCAAGTTCGTCTTGTTGACCTTGGCAGCGTGACGTAATATCCGGTCCGCGTCTTCATATTTCTTCTTACTGATCAGCCAGCGTGGAGACTCCGGCATGAACCTTAAACGACGTTCAGAAACTGTCCATTAACAAATGCAGTTTGCTCTGTAGGGAGTGAGTGGATTAGAACAGAACAATGATACAATGTTGTAGATGTCCTTCTTTCCTTCCTTCCTTCCTTCCTTCCAATCTTCCTTTCATAAGTCCATACATACAGAGAGAAAATAGCACAGTTCGCATTCACATGACTTACCAGTGATATACCACAAACAAGACCGTTGGCACAGAAACTATCAGCTGGAGGCGCTGCCAATCTCGTACAAAGTATGCAAGAGTTGCTGTTACGAATGAACCGCATGTCCAGAAAAACTCACATACCATGCCCGTGTATACTCGTTTTGAAGGTCCAACCAGCTCCACGCCTACAATCAAACACAAATCTTCTGTTATATATACTTATCTGAGTTGGTAAGTACGAGTTGTTTGACGTCACATTCGACCATAATCCGGAAAAGACGACGGTTTGTAAGAAGCTAGACCATTGGTGTCGCATGCTCCGCTTCCAGTCAGGTCCCACAGAATGATCCTAACCACCCGATCTAACTTTTAATCTGCTATATATTTGAAAAACACTTGATCGTGCAGTGGCTATTTGTAATTGATTTATCTCACCCGTTTCATACAATTACGACATTACAATATATCATTGACATTTCTGGGCCACCTTCCACACTGCGTCCCTCCGTTTTGACCCGGAAGAGGATTAAGAGCTCCTACCTACGACAAAGGCGTTGCCCCAGATGGCGATGCCGGACATCCCGTTGATGCAGTACAGAAGACCGAGGATGGCGAAGTTGGGGACAAAGGCTATGGAGATGGCGGACACAATGTGTAGGATGACCGATCCCATAAACATCTTCTTCCTTCCGATGCTGCAGAGTAACACAGAGACCACCAGTGGGACTAGCAAAATACTGTGAATGTATCACACGCTTTGAAAGTGTTTAACACTCACTGGATACATCCTAAAGACGCGATGTGTATCTGTGTGACGAGTTCCAGGCGTGGAGAAAGACTTCTTTTCGTTTTCATCCAGATTCAGATACTCATTACCAATTCATCTATAGATATTTATTGGACAGTGACTGAAAACACACGCGTGTGATGTAGTCGTAATAGGTGAACCCGTGAAGGTCCGGGTTAGAATTAACCTTAAAGTAACCCATGCTTGTCCTCAGAGGCGACTAACAGGATCGGGTGGTCAGGCTCGCTGACTGGGTTGACACATGTCATCGCATCCAGCATGGTGTAGATCAGTGTTCATGCTGTTGATCCCTGGATTGTCTGGTCCAGGCTTGATTATTTACAAACTGCCACCATATAGCTGGAATATTGCTGAGTGCGGCGTAAAACTCAACTCACTCACTCACGTAATCGGTGAAGAGACTCTTCTTTTAGCACGTGTTTATTACGTTAAAGGAAGGATAAGTTATATTTTTAAGGAAATTGTTTTGTTAGTGTTATTATTACATCATTCAGTGTTTTTAATGTACGTACCGATCGTGATTGGGAACGAAATATTTTTCTATATGCATTTGTTTAAGCAATGATGTGGTTCCTCTGATAGGTATTTCAGTATTCCAAATTGATGGTCGAATTATTTTTCAATAACTCACAAGGAACTTACAAATCTGCCGGGGACAACAACAACACACTTCCAACAAGTAGTCCAAGCATAAAGATCATCTGGGCATGGGTCCGTGTCAGCTCAGAGTCGCATACCCATCCAAACTGGAAAAGATGGAGCAACAGCAGAATTATATTAACAAGAAAAAAGAAAGAAGATTTTATATGTTCTCTATGTCAAACAGCATAAATGTACATAAAATATTTTTAAAATGCATTACTTAAACATTTTACACAATGCATGGATTGAATGTAGATCTAAGGCAACAATCAACAACAACTGAAACTACATACCGTGTCGATATAAAAGACAAGGATCACCAATGGTTGAAGCATGAGCAGGCATTCTTGCTTCAAGGATACAACATCAGCTGGGCCAATTGAACCGAACACCCGGTTTCCCTTTTATGTGACTTTTTCTTCAAGCATGAGATACTTGTGAACTCGTCAGTCACGCTGTTCTAAAATCGTTTCCCTTTTGGTTTGACATTATACTTGTTTGCTGGTGATTATATTAACGTTGCATTCTATGATATTGTTGGAATCACAAATAGGAATAGTTTTACTTAATTTACTTCTTTGAAATATAAGAGCTTTATAGACAAACCTTTGTAACAATAGTTGAACTAAACATATCCTTGTCGTAGACCCATTTTTCACATTTCCTTGAAGTATTTGTGTAAACACCATCGCCATTTGTGTCATTGATGATATTGTTAATAAAACAGGAAGAGTAGAGTTGTGTCCCTTCATTGGATAAAGGAATGGCTGCGTTGACGGCGCGCGCATGTTGTTCCCCCTGAATGGCGTACGTGTCGTTGTCCCAGTCAGGCAGAGCACACCTGGACAGAACGAAACGTGGCTATAGTGGAGACCTTAGAATGAGACAACCAGTGTGAGGGCCGTCATGGCTGCTTACGAGAAAATGTTAGTTTCAGTCATTCCCTCCTACAATAACTGCATTTTCCTGTGGTCAAGGTCAATCAGTGGGCTAACTGCAGACATTGTCCATTCCCTTAATTATACCTATATCAAACTGTGTTCTGAACAAAAACTGCCAGCATGACATGACAGTCAACCCTTCCGCCTGCACACTCAGCTCGTAATATCTGTGGCTTGAATATCTTTGACAAGAGCCTAGATGCGATGTCTTGAATAGAGACAATAGTATTGTTCGTTAACTAGTCCCGTTCAATAGTCGGTAAAATCAGATCTTCGTTCTCGCTGCTGGTAACCAAAGGACATGCAATTAGGAGTAAGATCAGAACTATGTTTTATCAGAACTATGTTTAATCAGAACGCCGCTAACTAAAGTGAGAGTGATCAGTGAAAGTGGACAGTTTGAAACTAATGCAGTATATCTGTAAAATGATGCTTTCTGATTGGCTGATGCTGAATCGTGTTAGTTATTTCACTGGTTTCACAAGCTCATGAAAGCTCGTTCTAAAGTGACTTGTAATGGCATATCCTCATATCATTGCTTAGCGTTAGCGAAAATTAACATTTTAAAATCAAAAGAAAGACAAATGTTTCTTTGGAAAGAAATGCAATGTTATTCATTATTTTCTGCGTTGAAACGCTTGGTGGTATGACAGAAACACTTATTAAAGTTCCATTTTTGAAGATTTTAGTTATTGTCGCATACATCAACCAAGTTATTATTAACAATATGTAGTTATGTACCTGTGTTCTGGCACACCCAGTGTGAAGACTGTCATCATTGTCTGCACACCGAATGATATCATTGGGATACATAGCAGGAAGTAAAGCCTCTTCTGGTAGGGGCCAAAGTCACCAAGGAGCTTCACGATGTCTTCAAACTTCATCTTGGAATCTGAGAGATGGTTTATGAGTACATTGTATGTTACTATCACATGCAACAGCCTGCTGTTGTCGTTGGACACAGAAGACCCAGTGGTATGAATGTCAGGACGTGCTTTCCATAATTTGGAATCATTACAGACCTCCAATCATAGCTGAGATCAGAAAAGAATTAAATGTGACAAGGTTCAGGCGAAATGGCAGTTCTGTCACGTGTCATGCAAGTAGTTCAAACACAGTGATAGCTTCAATTCACTGTTAACTCAAATTGTATTATGTACTATGTAGCACACACGCAATATCAACTGTTTCTCCAGGGCTGGAATTTCGGCAAATGTGTACTAAACTGAACCCATTCCAGTAGTTCTCTCAAGGAATATGTATCACAGAATAACGCCATTTATTTCTGTGGTTGAAATTGCCATTTTCAGCTGAGCATTATTTAGTGGAATAGTGCTGATGAGGTAGATGTACATATATACATATTTATACTTGTACGGATGGCCACACACAGTAAATGTACTTGTTTAAGAGTTATGTGGCAACGTATTATGGTAGCTTATTTCAGAAAAATCATGTAGCCCGTACACTATATATTCTACACATCATGAGGCCACAATAAATTGGGCTTTTATCATGTCGTGTGAAGCACTGCAAGGATGGCTTTACATCTGTATCAAATATAACGCTTTAGTCCGTTTTTAAGTTTAAATAGAAAGGCACAAAAATATGTTTCGTTTGTTTCAAATACCTAAGACCATATGGGAGATTCCGTACATGTACCACTATAAAGAACTCCACTCGGAAAGGACCTTTGAAGAGCCGTGGTGATGAGATATACCATGTGTCAGCTCCACCAACACGACCTGAGTGGTCTGAGCTCTGAGTCCACTTGTATGTTTGGGTCCTGCGAGAGTTCATAGTGTATTTTCTCGAAACACGCTACTGGTTATTGGCTGTCAGTGGAATGGCGTCATGACAATGGCCAGGTTCAGTGCATTCTCAACACTTGGACTTTTTCTGTTCCTATGTTTCACTAGGTAAACTGATTAATCATGGAGACTTTAAAGATTGTAAAACAAAGTTTGTACTCAAAACAGTGTCCACTTAATATTGCAGATTTGGTTATACTTGGGTTGTATGTGGCGGTATGAGGAAAGGAAAGGAAATATGGTTCTGGCTTTTAGCAGCATTCAAGTCGTATCACGGCTACGGATACCGGAAATGGCGTCACACGGTGTACCCATGAGGGGACCGGTCAAGATCTTACTCACTGTTCTACTTCGCCATCCAGATAGAAATTAAATAAGAACTATCCGTAGGAGTACATGTAATGTGTTTTTATTGATTGACATTTTAAGAAATGACATCATATTATCAGAATGGTCCGTACAAAGTCATCTACACCGACTCAATACAAAGGACACCACAAATGTGACCGTGCATCATCACAACTATTTAGCCCATATCAGACATGGGATTTTCCATAAGGTGTGGCTGTAAGTAAACCTGTGGTGGAAAGTCCGCGTAGTTGAATGGCTGGACGTGACTAGCATCCAAATGTGGAATATATGTTGAGTCGGTCCGTTTGTTACCACCCGCAAAGCATATCATATAGAGCGTTAACCCTTACCACCGTAAATGTGTAAATACTCATTCCCCTGTGAATTCTAATTAGAAATGAAACCATGTTGTGTTAAATGTAAAAAATATAGAAAGCTCCAATGAAGTCAACATTCACATTACCTAATGCAATAATTATCGTAAAGCCATAACAGACATCATTTGGTATTCTGAACAAAAACCCAATCTCTCGTCTTTAAACTTGCCAATCAACATGGAACATAGCTACATTAAACAATATTTTGCACATTCAAATTGTTCACACTTGTTCTTTCTTTCGTTATGGGTAACAATGTGTTTGTTATCCGCACTAACACTATTTTGTACGTGATACTGTCCAGTTCATTTTCGTTTCAGGGATGCTAAAACAATGTTGTCGGTATGTGTTGCTGGCGGAAGAAAGTAGCCTAAATTGGGAACAAATCGTGACATTCTTCAAAATCCTGGAAGACCTATGTTGACTTTTATCTCTATTATCCAGTATTCACGGACGTAATGGAGCCTGTCCCCGTTGCACAGAAAGAGGCTGACGGTACGGATCCACTCGTAGATATCTTGCTTCTGTGGGACTTGCGGTGAAGGGTTTCCCAGCTGATATGCTGCATCTGTCGCGAGGGACCCCTGACAAAGTCAGGAAGATTAAACTCCTGAAGTGGACGTTTCCGAATTTGTTTCATGTGACCATCTTTGAGAGACCTGGACAACTTGGGAACGACCAAACAACGGCTTGACACTTCAATAGTCGGGAACATCTTCTTCTGAATGACCTTAGCAATGTGACGGTTTGTACTCTCTATACACCTGGAGCACGTGCCTGGTCCTAAAATGTCGCAATACTGTTGATCGTGCACGTCATGACTCGAACATGGTTGAGGTTGACATAGAGACCTGTGGCTGTTTATCGTAATGTAGCTTTGAGTCTTTGAGTTAATGGATGAGATAGCATTTTGATGCATGCTCGTTTCCTTTGTGAAGGGCCTTGGCATTCCGTACCCAATGGCTTTGGATTTGGGAGCTTTGTAAAAGGTCTGGAGTATCATTTTGTTGAAGGGGCCTCTGGGGTTTCGCGGCAGGTTGCATCTTAAGATGTATTCTCGCTCCCGTTTAGTGTCCACGTCCACCTCAGAACTGTACTTTGTCCTTGTCCTCTGGGGTCGAGAGGGAGGTAACTCTCTTCCGGGTGTTGCCAGTCGATCAAAGTCGTAAATCGACCTGAAGTTAAGGACATAACCACAAATTAAAACGATCGTATTATTCAAGCATACAATTGTTTTCTAATAATCTCTATGGTTGATATATCTCAATGAAAATATATAGGATTGGTCCTATCTTTGTTGTTTCTCTTTATTTTTTAAAGTGAGTGAGTGAGTGAGTGAGTGAGTTGGGTTTTACGCCGCTTTACGTATATATATAATATTCCAGCAACATCACGGCGGGGGACACCAGAAATGTGCTTCACACATTGTACCCATGTGGGGACTCGAACCAGGGTCTTCGGCGTGATGGGCGAACGCTTTAACCACTAGGCTACTCCACCGCCCCTTTTTTAAATGAACATTAGAGACACGATGATTGCAATTTCATCAGTACAATACGGGTAATCAGGAATATACTCAGATATCTTGCACGTAGTTAAGGAAGATGCAACGACATTCAACATTCAAAAGAGCAAGAGGACTATGGCGCAAAGTAATGTATTTTAGTACATGGCATGTCACATTTAATTGGGGTTTTAAATGTGGTAAATCATGGTGGTTGTGGTAAACATACTTTCTGTCCATTGTAGGCCCTGCTGCCCTTCCCGGTGTAGTCACCTCTTCTTCTTTTTGGCCCGGGAAACTCCACATCGCTCTTCCACTGTCCCTTACAGTGCCACGCCATCCACCGCCGCCCCCCTGCGAATTCAGAGACTCCAAAAAGGAGAGTTCTCTGAAAAACAAATATCAGTGATGGATATTTGAAATTTGACTTGAATTATGGAATATTAATATACTGTGCCATTTACGCGGATTATTTCTGAATGATACCGAGACAACAGTCATAACGAATTCAAAAACTAATATATGTATAACTAAGGCTGTTTTTACTTTTCTATAACCAAACCGAATGGCGCAAGTACAACCTGGTACAATAGAGAAGTAGTTTTTGGTAATACATTGTTGAATAGAATTAGGCTTCAATAAATTATAAATCTGTTTGTTTTAACTATGAAGGGATGGACATATTTACAATACCACAAGTGCAAGGAAAAGTTTCCGATAAATTAACTCTAAATACATCGGATCATTCAGATGCTATGTCTGATCCTTCTGTGTATAATATTTTATATAACTGGAAAAAACACATGGACATCGACTGACACTTGGACAGAGCTAATTATTTTGAGCTAGAGTAGAACTATTCTTGACATTGTCATTTTGAGAGTTCCTAGTTTGAATGAATACATGACATTTGGGATGTACTTCTTGTGGTAAGGGGAACGGTTATGTTAATTTGTTACCGAGGTTATACCTGGGTGTACCTTGGATGATTTTAATAGTACGCCGGCCCGGCGGTGTAGGACTTTGCCCCTAACACCAATCATTACATTTTCTTGCCGATTATTTACAATTTGCCCTGATAGTTAGAACAATGCCGATTTGGCATAAAATGTATACATGTAAGTACTCTATATTTGGAATTTTAGCCATGTTGTTTCTGATGGTATAATAGTTTCATTATGAAAATGACAATATTGCCTGTTGGCTTCGTCACCAGTCCCATTTGTTGTTCTTAGTCTCCCACTGGCCTCTCATAATTATGTTGTTATTCAATTGCATGCTGTTGTCAATGTTAATCTGATGTTTGTCAAAACATACTATGTATAAATACCTCTCATCATCTGGTTGTATTCACTTTTATATCTTGATAACGATGTAAGAATCTACATCGAAACGTCGCTCTATGCAATTAACAAGTAGTTGTCATCCATAAAGTTGTATGTTTCATTTTTGCCTATAGCAAATTCAGCTAACGATGAAAAAGGTTTTCAGGCATGATATTGGTGTTGATATCTCCTGAATCAGTTATGGCGAACAGTGATATTTAGAGACTTTCGAGTCTTTGCTATGACAGACTGACGTCCATGAGTTCAGTTGGATGCGTGCACCTACCCATCAGATTGTATGATGTCCAACATAGCCTGTCTTGTGTCCTCCTCGCTCCAGCCAACATCCTCCCCATCTGCGAATGAGGGGAGGCGGTCCACACTCTTAGAACGAATCATTGTCCACCAGCACTGGTGATACCTGCCACTGGAATCTTTGCACACGATCACCCTCTTGTCAGAGCGATCAGTATTATAACAGCTCTGGTTTGCTGGATCATTATCAAACCAGTCAATTTCATATATGTTATCTATATATAAAGACTCTTTCACAATGTTTCAACGTTTTGCAGAAATACCTTTACAGTAAACGCTTGCAGGTAACAATGTTATTTCTGGAGTTCCGTTGGCACGTTCAAGAGAATGAAACTTAGGACCAAAGGTTCGTAAGATCACAGAGGATGAAGGTATATCCAAAGCATCGCATGTGTTGGCTCTATGTCCTGGCTTGTTCCCGCTTATTTCAACATTTCAGAACAATAGCTCTATAATCAATATTCTATCAATGACATGTCAGCTACCATCTGTCTCTGTTACTTTATGGCATCAAAGACAATCCAACTGGTGTGTTGTGGGGACTTGAATTCTCACTGTAGGTGCTACATTCTGGCATGTATTAGGTCCCTTTCTTCAGACGCCTACTCACCACAAGTGTATCGGTGTGACTGAAATGGCGTAGCTCTAGTGATAGAATTAGGGAGCTTTGTTGAGAAATCTGGTCGCAATCCAGATAATCCGACAGCTTTAACCTACTTCTTCTGTTAGGCAGATTAACAGTTGGATTTAGACGACAAAATGTAAAAGGTTCCACTAATCCCAATTGATAGATCAATCGTCTTAACTGGGTGTACCATATTCTGAGACAAAGTGTGAAGCCTTAACAGGATTTACAGACGCGTATATTGGCAATTGTTCTGACAGGACTGTACTTAAATGAAAGCGTGAAGTAACCATTGATGTTATAGCACTGGGTAAAAAAGACAAAACCTTTTCCAGACTCATAAATAATCTCAGCTTCTTGGGTTTTGGTGTCACTTTAAATTCTGTGATTCCAGTGCAAATATGACCAGTGTCATATGAAAAAGAATCATCGATATCCACAGAAAGAATATTTACATGCAGACAGGAAGGATCGGAATTAGTGGCCCGAACGGCAGGTCAAAGAGTGGAAGGCTGACGTATGTTTATCATGATATAACCATGGAAACGAATAAGGGAAAACATGAAAGTACAAGTGTTCCTCTATTTATTTCCAGATTTTCACCCACAGTATGAAGAGTATGGGAACACTTGCACTTTCATGTTCCTTTATTTGTTTCCATGAGTATATTTTCTAAACAAAAGTATACCCAAGCCCTCTTTAACACAAATGTTCGTTTCGAGGGCCATTATACAATGTGGGTGGAAGGTCAGCCCAAAGGTTTCGTTAATATGATCATTGGCTGTAAACAAAAAAAATTGTTCTACTGTAAACAGTAACCATATCAATATGATATCAACAAGCACTGTGTTGAGTGGTCCTGAAAGAGATGGATATCTTTAAGGGTGGACAGATGATGACTGGCTAGCATACATTTTCAACATCCTTTGAAAATGACATTTGGTCATTCCTTTTCTTGGATAATGTCCAAAATTGATGTTTCGGGACAAGGTATGATGAATCCATGCTGCTTGACAGTACAGATGTACCAACTTCGCTGCATGGAACAATGCCAGTGAGGTGTCCAGTACATGCTTGTCCATCACATCTTAGTGCCACCAAACAGGTTTGTGATGAACTTTCAGAGTTTTAACGACAGCTTCATGGACCAAAGAACATCTGACTCAGTTACATTTTTTTGTATTAGGCCAGCAATGAAGCTAGTAGCAGTGTTTGAAATAAGGCCCGTCCGACAGCCCTAGACGGTCTAGATTTCTGACAGACGGTCTAAATTTACAGCTAGCCAGCCCGATGGTCTGGTAAAAATTGTAGATGTTCCAGTAAATTCACCATATTTGTCTGGTTAAATCCATTTTTGGTTGGTAACATTTTGAAGTTACCAGCCCCGATGGACTGGGTACTTTGGCTTATTTCATACACTGCTAGTAGGCACATGGCCTTGTTTTCGAACAAAATTTCTTCATTATTCACTCTTTGATTGCTATCATCTTCATTATTGCATTTAAAATGATAAGAGCAATTGAAAACACCAGTTAAGACAATAATATTAGGTACATTTTATTAAGTAATGACAATACCCTCACTTTGCAGTTCACTCCCAACGTGTGTCATGATGGAATCTACAAGAGACATGGCCAACTATTAGTACACCTACCACACCTACAACTTAAACAAGCTCCTTGATTAGACATCCTAATAACTACAACTTGCAGGTGGCTCAAACATAAATAACCAGAACTCAATAAAATCATATGCTTTGTATCTGTAGGCATGTCACATTATAATGCATTACATTGCAATAATCTCAAGCTTAACTACCATTAACAAGTGTCATGGACTTGTCTGAACATTTTAGTCTGATCCAAACAAGTCAGTCTGATTGAAGTCTATTTTAAAATTGACATTTTTCTGGACACAGAATCCAAAGGAGTACAAAGTAAACTTGTCAATAGTTGACATGATCAGGAAAAACACTGTCATGAAAACAACAACATATGGTTGTTTGGGTAGTTATGTGGACATTCTGATGAAAAGTTACTTAGTTTGTTGTGGCCTGACATATTGTCGTTGTGTAGTTACTAAATCAAATATCAGTGATGCAAATCATATAAATGACATTTTTCCAAGGTGGCTGCACCTTAATATCAAACAAGAGAGTATCTAGTATCAGCAGGGGACGACACCATGGGTTTAATCCAAGTATCCAAATATTCCACAGTTCCTTCCTGACTAGAACTTGGTGCAAACAAGTTCTGAGTCTGAGGAATATCAGACTAATGTCTAACCCTGATCAACAATGAGATTCTGACCCTGCCTAAAAGCTCATTATAAATAAACAAACCAGGCAATGTATTTCTTAGTGTTGTACTAAGATTTTCTTAGTCAAAACTAACATGGTTATTCCGTAATTTTTCAAACATTATAGGAATATTCTGGAATTTTGCAAACATAAACTTAGACATAATGAAATAACCAAACAATAAGCCACCATTGTCAGTTGAAGCATAAAAATTAAACATTACAGAACAAAATTCTTTCTTCTAACAAAATAACAGACAGTTCATATTCATGATGAAAATTGACATGCTGTTTCACAGAAAACAGAGACATTATTCAGACAATTTCATTACTAACTAACAGGACGGTTTCACTGCATCAATGTATACAAGCACAAAAATGGTAAGTGAAAACAATCATATTTAATAAACAGTTAACAACTTATCCAGACGGATAAAACATCTTTGTAAGAAGTGTTTTTCTTGCATGATTAAATTATAACAACAACGTTTGCCAATCACATCTTGATATCAAACTACCAGGACATTTATTCATAAGTGAAGAGACCCTCTCAGTAACTGTACCTGATACCATTAAAGCTCTTTCCAGATTTCTGATACCTACAATAATGTCACTGTATATCTTCAATTTCAATGTAAATAATACAGACCTATGTCAAGCAAATGACTAAATCACCATCAAGAAGAGATTCATCACATTCATTTTAATAATTTCAACCGATTTTCAACTTAAAACCATTTATAAGACCCAGAGATTAGAGAGTGTTACACACTTTGAAGAAGGAATGTGTACGTGTTTCAAACAAGTGATACTGTCTAAAGCCAAACAGGATGAGTTTATGCCATTGTCTTTTACTGTGCCTATGAAAAGTAATAATATGCTACTATCATATGTTGTTCCATACAGAGTACATATATTTTATAGAAACATAATCTTCATACACTTAGATTGTGTGGAATGATAACAGGAGTTTTAAGTTTCTGTGCAGACAGAGAAATCTTCATTTATGTGCTGTTGCTGAAAATTACAATTACAACTACTACTCCAAAGTTGTATTATTATCTCGTTTTGGAAGCTTAAAAAGCATAACAAAAGCCCATACAAACACACTGTAATCAAGGGACTTAAATGTTTTAACAGAAAACCTTGAAAACAATACAACAGTACTTGATAAGCAAAAAGAAATCATTTAATGGTTTGTGTAGCATCCTGCCCCAAAATTTGTAACAGGACAAAATAAAATATATTCTATAGTAGAGATATTTCATTCTTTAGAGCAGTAGTTTCATTTTGACTATTGTGTCAAGTTACACTCAAAATAATCTGTAATGCTGTTATTATCTCTCCTTTGTTCTTATCCTTGACATGTGAGCCTGAAGAGTGTGTACAAAAGAAACCTTCCAGGTCAGGTCTGACAATCTGTCCATGTTAGTCAAGAAAATTACATTGGATTTGAGTAAAACATACTTACAAAAATTCTGAAAACTAAAACTGAAAATATTTGCCTTAATAAAGAATACCAGACTGATATAAACCCTGAAGATATAACATAAAGAAGATTTAACTGTTTACAGTGGAATTAATCAGTTAGATTTTAGTGTATATTGTCTATATAACTGATATATTTTGATAAAATAATATACCATCTATACTTCCCAAGGACTCAATTTTCCTTTGGTATTGCAATTTTCTAGAGTTATGATAAACTGGATTATAAATCACATATTCTCAGACAGACACAATGTACAGGTGCTGGACTCACATGCAAATGTAAAGAAGAAAGCAAACAAATTGAACTGTGTACATTAATGAACGATGCTGCACTTGTGAAGCACACTGTTGGACAGAAACCTCAATAGTAAATGATTACTGATATTGCAAGGTGAGAGGACAAACATGCAATTGGCATACTAATAGCTGTGTGGACATTCAATCAACTTGACCTGTTCCCTTATGAGGGAGGGGATCTATTAATGCATACTCTTACAGTTGATGAAATGTCATTAACAGTCCAAGAAAACTCACAAAAAGACATTTTAGCCATTGGATGATATCTCAGTCACCAAAAATATAAATTCTTCGTTTTTGTAAATAATCTCTCAGTGTTATAAATTATAAAGAAAATACATTTAAACCTAACAAACCATATTTGCAAAATTAGGTTACAACGTCCTTCAGAATATTCCACAATAAAACCAACAGAAAGTTGAATTTATTTTATTTAAATTTGTGATTTCAGCAGGTCACATGTGACTACCAATAAATAAATAGTTTCTAAACTAGGTTTAAATACTGAAATGTGTACATTAAATATTAACAAAGAATCAGCACCAACAAAGGGGAATACCCAAGCCATAAGCTATGAGCATGGACTACACTAAAATCGTGGTTTGTACATACAAGAGACACAACATAACATAGGAACTACAACTACACCTTACAATATTATGACATACAGAGTTGTGTATACCTTAATGATGCTCACTATTGCAAACAAAAATATTGTAAACGCCTTGGTTTTCTCAGATGTAATTTGCATAAAACTAATTACACACATTATATTGTGAGATACAATGTATCCAATGAACCGTTATTCACTTGGAAGTCCACAAGTCAAGCAGGATAATGCTCGGTTATCTAGAACTTATGAAAATCAGCCTGCTCATATAAATATGTCTGGAACCATTAAAGGTACATCATTACACTATAGAAGACATATATCATCAGAGTTTGAGATTTTACAATAGGTGAGGCTGAGATGTCTCACTGTAGCTGGCATTTAGAATCTTGTCCAAGAGAATTTAAGATTTCTTACTGTATGCCCAACATACTGATAAATACCAAATTCTATTTCCACTGAAAAGATATGCCAAAACCAAGTTTAAAGCACAACATTTTAAAATCTTAATGTCATCATTTTCCATTCGGCATAAACTGATGTAACTTTCATTGCTGAATATAAAAAAAATGTTGTCTTTAACATAAAGTCAAATGTGATTAAGACTTAAGTTCTGGGGAGCATCACACAAGTAAAGAAATTATTAGCCAAGTGTGTATTAGATATACCTTTGGGATCAAAATGGTATTATGAGAGCCTATGGTGAGCATTCATAATACACATTTGTTATTACCAATATTTGACATGCAGAAACACAAGAGAGTAATGATCTCAATATCTTAGAATGTTACTCTGAAAACAATGTGACATTACAGATGTAATTCTGCTCACAGAAGTATATTCAGAAACTACATATAAATACAGTGAATGAGTGAACGGCCCTATTTATCATCTAGCGTGAAATGATTCACAGCCATGTTTGTCTACATTAACACCCACAGATTTGAGAAAGCCAATTTAAACTTATTGCGAACATAAGTCAGTAGTCTATCCAGAAAACAGACAACAAATCAATACATAGATATTTAAAACAGTTCCTGCTAGGTGGTAATCATTTGCATATTTATCGGATAAAGGTACCAAGTCTATGGGATTTGGGATTTGTGTACTGTATAACAATATCCATTATATCATAAATATAGTTATCAACAGTGCAACAGGTGTGATAGCAATGTAGCATGAGGTTGATAAGGATACCATAAGATACCACAGAGTTTCATCACTCATGTGACATAGAGAGCTACAGATGTTTCACCTTTCAATAACCTATGTTAAACCAGAACATGCAATGGGACCGTTTCCTTTCTTGTGGTGCAACTGACATGACTGTGTCAAGTGATCTATTCAACCCATGTTTTCTATTTCAATATGTTTACAAATATTGGTACACATATTTACATATACATACAACATTGTACAAGGAGGAGACATACAGTGGCATACAAATAACTTTGTGCATGAACATTTCTTTCCGATTTTCTACAACAATTTGAAAAATAACTCAACAATATTTTGTGTAACAACTTCTGAAACAGTTTCAGAATGTCCTAAATGTCAATAGCTGTCATCAAAGCAAAACTTCATTCCTGAAGTGAGGAATGTTAAGTTTGCATCATCTAACATGATTAAAACAGGCTATATACACTATGCATAATTGTCTTAACATTTATCATATATAACAACTCACTCTAAAACAAGGCACCAAATGTTGTTCTATTACCAGTCAGAATACATCATAGTGTGACCCTTTGTACCTTCAGACAGACTCTGGCTGCTGTTATGATCTTGGAATGAGACAAACAATTGGGAACTTAACAGATGTTATGTTAGATATACACTCCAGCATTCGAATCACTTTCAATAAGAAGCTGTCAATTGAGACAGTCTATTCTTGAAGAGGAGCACAAGCAAATATAGTTTCCATATGGATGAAAAATAGTTGCACAGAAAGATAGCCGCGAGCATCATTGCCTGTATCCTTGCTAATACATGTCTTAATCTGTTTGTGACACATGGATATCCAGCATTCAGAAAAGCGATAGACTCATTAACCATAAGCCTCTGTAGACATATCCATGTCACTAATGCCCACACCAGTTCACCAACCTCCATCTTCTTCCTCACAGTAGAGTATTTCAAAGTCCCTTGATCACCAAATAATGTTGACAATAGGTGTTTGCCAAATATTCAAACCTGTATATTAGTCTTACTTTCTCCAATATATCATTTATTGTAAGATACTGTTTCAAATAGAAGTTTGTTACCTAGGTCTGTTTTTTATCTCATATTTTTTAATTTTCTATTCTTTCTCTTTTAATTTCAATCTAAAATATGTGCTCCCTAAATAGTTATGCTATTCACTGTGCAAAATCTTTAGATTTTGTTCAGTTTCAATTGAATGCGAAAATGTCTTCATAATTTGGTAGGACTGTTTATGCATGGTATATTACATATGAAAATATATTTCATTTCTTCAGAAAGTGAAAGTTATGTCAGTGAAATGAACCCAAACCTCTAAGAATATGTTTGACATTGAAATAATATAGGCAAAAAATATGGGGAGTGGAAAGGTGCCACTGCAAAGACTAGATACAACCTACTCAGCATAATTATATTTAGTTATCTACACACAGGTCACGCACCAAAAGTCCTTGACCTTAAAACACCAATATCTGTGTCATTCGTGGGGGACTAGTCTGCTGACTTAGCTAATGCATCGTGTGATTATGAGGTAACTATATTCATGTGACTTTGGGTTATATGTAACACTTAAAATGAGACACATTTTCAAATTTCACTTCAACAGTAAAATGTCATGTCAATCCAAACAGTTTGTTCAAGGACCTTAGGTAGCACTCTAGCTTGTCGTCATGGCCAAATTCAGCTTCAACAGTAACATTTCTATAAATAAGCCCATCTATCCTCTATGTTCTACATCCTGCCTCATTTTTCTCCTTAAGAATATATATTTTTATATAACAAGGTATATAAAATATGATTTTTCTTCTAGATTGTTCTTGAGTACCAAGTTTTGTAGTCTTTTTCTCTGTAACACAATCAATCATCAACAGAGCTACTGAGGAATAATGTCTGGAAATCAGAGTATCAATCTGTTATTAATAATTTTCTTCTTAAACTGTCTAATAACATTATTTCCCAATTTTTACCAAAAATCAACTCATTTACTTCTAATTATTCTCCATAGTTTCAAATGGAAAGAAGGGAATGTTCATAACATCACATTTAAAATAAAATAGAGCTTTTGAATAACAATTCTTGATTTCATAACTATCAATTTTCCCTTCTATTTGTAAGAGAATATTTCTGCTTTTGTACAGTCTTTAAGAAATCCGACATATCTTCCACAGTTAGATGACAAGACTATAGACTTTACACACTTAAACCACTCAACAGAATCATCTCTTGAAAACATCTTGAAAGTTCTTAATGAGTATGAGAGCAAAACTGTTGACAGCACCCATGGTTGACAGTGAGGCCTGGCCCTTTGACCACAGCAAGTTGGGACCAAACACTATGGCAAGATTCATGGGCCATCTTGTGTTTACTTCAGAGTTTTCCACCACCTGTAAAATCAGAAAGATGAATGATTATTATGTGCAGGATTGATGATTTTAAAATGTTATTCTTAAATGTTCAATGAACAGTAACATTTAGAGGGGTGTAGAATTGTTAACCTATTACTGAGGTACCAGCTACACTTTGTTTTACAGTGAGTGAGTGAGTTTGATTTTACACCACTTAGAGCAATATGCCAGCAATATTACCAGAACACCAGAAATGGGCTTCACACATAGTATCCATGTGGGGAATCGAACCTGGGTCTTTGGCGTGACAAGCAAACGATTTAATCATTAGGCTACCCCAATGCCCCTTGTTTTACAGATGTGACTGATAATGTGGTACAGACATTGCTGTCTTCTACAGTGGAGAGTCACTGTGTATGTGATCCAATGTTCAGCTGGTCGTATGGTAATGATTATCTCAAATGGTTTTTTGGGGCTGTTCCCCTTTTCAAATGTCATGTACATTTAGTAACACTTGATATCTTAAACATTTTCAGATTTAAATGCACTGGAACCCAGAAAATAAAATAAATCTATTTACCATTTGTATCAAAACTGATACCTTTTTCATTTCATGACAGTTGAATATATATATGAACCCTTCAAATGCTGGTAATCATTGAAACTTTGATATATACATCTGCAGAAAGTTTTCTCCATTTTCCAAAGGAAATTTCATGAAGAAACATCTGCATCATAAAAATCGAATGTGGAAGACAATTTCAATTCATCACTCCTGATTGGAGTGATGAACTTCAGAGTGTTACCTCAGTTAGGAAATGTACGATGTGTTTGAGGATTATGTAGTTGTCCTCTGGTAGCTCCTCCCTCAGCATGCGCTCAGTCTCGAACACATGCTTATTGCTGTCAATCACTGAAACAGAATAATCATCATTACTGCCATGACATAACAGGGATATATATTAGCACAAATCTGCTAGCCTGAGCTAGTGTTGCTGATGGTACAGGTGTCTATAGAGCTAGGAGAATTTCAACATTTTGAGCGGTGTTCCTATATGTCATCACTATTTAGGCAGGTAGGCTTCCTAGGATTATTTCTATCCCTGAAATGTATTACACTGAAATGCAATTTGTGTGCTAGGTACAGCATTATTCAGGACCCGTGAAGATCCGGGTTAGCATTCAGCAACCCATGCTTGTCGTAAGAGGCGACTAATGGGATCGGGTGGTGGGGCTCACTGACTTGGTTGACACATGTCATCAGTTCCCAATTGCATAGATCGATGCTCATACTGTTAATCACTGGATTGTCTGGTCCAGACTCGATTATTTACAGACCGACCCCATATAGCTGGAATATTGCTGATTGCGGTGTTAAACAACAAACCAACCATTACACTGAAACAAAAGTATTTCATGTTGACAAAACATGCGTTTCAGGATGATTGGGTGAGTAATTAGGATTTTTCACTGCTTTTAGCAATATTCAGGCTATATGGTAGTGTGAGACTAGACACATGAACGTCACACACCCTTCTGGGTGACCTGATCTCCAGCATGACAAGCCAGCACTTTGACAGCACCAGTCAGCAAAAATCAAGCTACTTCACTGATGTCTGATACAAAAGAATAATAATAATAATAATAAAATGGATTCTTATACTGCACTAAACTCCACACCAAAGTGTGCTCAAAGCGCTAACAGAGTTCATAGATATCACATGTGCTTACAATCCATTTCTATTGAACAGGTAGGTCAACCATGTCAACCAGTGATTGAAAGAATGAGCAGTGATCAACGTCATCTTGATACAATGAACAAAACATTTAGCCAAGTCACGGAGTCTCACTACCAAACCCCTTTTGTTACTCTCTTATGAGTGAGTGAGTGAGTAGGTTTACTTTTATGCCACTTTTAGCAATATTCCAGCAATATCACTGTGGGGGTCACCAGAAATGGCCTTCACATGGGGAATCGAACCCAGGGCTCCGGTGTGACGAGCGAACACTTTAACCACTAGGCTACCCCACCGCCCAACTCTCTTATGAGAAGCATGAGTTGCTATCTTATTGCAGGTGACCCTTATCACAGAACCAACCACTGTAAAGAGAAAGCTGTGAAATAGTCATGTATTGGCATAATTGAACAGACAACAAAAAGTTTCTTTAGTGATGCAATGTACTGTATCAACATCAGTTACATCCTACCCTTCATCTGAAACCTCCATTACACAGGTATAACATTGAACAGAGCAATAGCTCACCATTCAGCCTTGTGACCGGTTCAAAGAGGTCGAATGTAAGGATAGGTTCCTGAAGTTCTCTAAGGAATGTCTTGAGTATCACAGCAGCTGTGTGAACATCATATGTGTCACCTCCGTAGTCAACTGGTTCCCCTGCAAACAACAACACACCTGTTAAGTAGATTTTAGAACAAGCCATATATTTACAAAAGAAAGGATACAGACAATGACCTTTAACATATCAGAACTAGAGCAATATTTTATGAAATTTGAAGAAAATATTTGTAAAATTTATAAACACTGTAACATGTTTAGTATAGCAAAACACTATACAGGAATAAAAATGGTCAGCTAAGTTTTACTTGCAACACGTTATATTTGGGATTAAACTTTCTCAGCAAAGTAGAGATTCTCGTATTTTTATTGGGGTAAGTTCCAACAAAAGTACTAGAATCTGTACTTTACAGAGAAAGTGTAATCTCAAATATAACATGCTACATTTGACCACTTCCTAAATGGCATTGTGTATTCATAAGTTTTACTTGTATTTATCTATCATTTTTAACCCGAAAGGTACCAAAGGTTAGGATGAATTGAGTTAATATCTGCAGCGATTGTCTGGTCAAATAAAGGAATCACAATAGAAATAAATTTGAACATAAGTAAGTTCATGATTACATAATACATAATACTGTACACAGACAAAATGAAACTTCATGATTCAGTTTCGAAGGTTGTCTCCCTTTGTTCATAACAAGTCAGTCAGGCGGTGAATATTTGAAGGGTTAGGCTGTAGTATTTCTGCAGGACCTCAGGACTTTGATAAACAAACCAATGGGAAAAGATATATTCTTACCCAGATTCACCAGTGGAATACTCACATAAAGCCACAACTGAAGCATGTCTATTGATGTTCTTTGTAAAAGTATGCTTAGTGATAAAAATAATTTCATCATGAATCAGTACTGTAAATCATGAAATTAATCCTCATGAATTTAATGCGAGTGCGATGGTCTAGTCTAAAATGTGTCACGAAACTAATGCAAGCTCAGGAATCTGTGTTGATGATAAAATGTGACACCCTGAATCTTTGGTGTTGTTCTTTTTCGTTTCACACTTGTTATTTACCAAATAACCTGAATTGAGCTTGTTTAGCAATGAATGGAAATGAGCTGACGATGTTTTGATTACGGTGCCATGTTTGATCACCTGATTGCTTACTACTACTTGTCTTATGACAACATGTATAAACGTAATCTGACTTGAAAGACACAAGTCATCTACCATGGCACAACAAACACGTGGCTGGAGAATGTCCGGTCTGGCTGATGTGTTTGAGTGACTTTAAACAATGACCAGTGATTGTAGCCAGTGATAAGTACAGTGGTTTGAGATAGTTGTAATGAGGAAGTGACCTGTATTGGTGTAATGTGTACTGTCAATAGATTTACGTTTTCTGTCTTTGATTAAGTTCTCAAAAGTAGATCTAGACATGGTCAGACTAAAATGCGTCATTATAATAATGTGAGAAGAGTACAGACGCATTTTTCGCATTAATTTCATGATTTACAGTATTTTAAGTTGTTTTTAAGATAAGGGGAGTGACATTTGACAAAAAAGACATAACATACCGTTGTTGTACTTTTTCTGGACTTCCCTTAACGTGGCAGCATTTGCCGATCTCCTGAAAATACCCTCCACTTGCAACCCTGGAATGACAAGTGTACATCAGGATTTTGTCAAAAAAAGATGACATTAATAATCTCAGGCAGTAAAAAAATACAACTTTAGTACTTACAAAAGCAACAACTGACACAATTAAACTATTAAATCATTCTTGTCTCTCCTCATAATTCCATTTCCTATTACATGTATCTATTGAAAGAGAGCAATATCTCTACAACATAGAAAACTATTGACAACAGGAAATTTAAAAGTGCTTTGGAATTAAACTAAATATTACCATGAACCCTGAGGTATTCTATTGTTTGTTCGACAACAATTGGAATTATTCTCCCACTATGCTCTTTGATGCTGAAACAGAATGAAGTTCTACAGTTATATACCACACAATCAGTGCAACAGACTCAGCATGCATGGTTGAACGTGGAACAAAGTCATCAAGTTTGTCTTCTTAGTGGCAAATATAAATCTCCAGTAGTAAGCAAGAATGATGCCATGAATTGAACTGTTTAATAATTTACAATACAGTTTTTTTTGAGAATTGATGTCAAATAAATCTGCTTATTCTGGCCTGATACAAGATTACAGCAGTCAACTGATCTATAAACGTCTAATAACATGTTTACTGCTATTTGAATATACTTCATTTCTTCTTTAGTTCTATACACTGTTACTAATAGTGTCAACTTTGACATTAAGATGTAGTGTACATGCAAATTTGGGCCATATGCATTTCATGGGCAATAAACATTGATTTGCAGACAAATCAATTGCTCTCTGAATGATCTGATCCAGGTTTGCTAAGATGGCCAGTCTGTCAAAGTCTGTACTTACAACTGTAATGTGACCCCAAACTGCTGTGTCTTGAGAGGTCCACCATCAGTGTTTGAGGTGCCCTGGTTGTATGGATACTGAGGCTTCCTGGCAGCAACCTTCTTTGCATCATATCTGGAACAGGTAAGTGTTATAGGCTGGTTTGTAAGTCACAAGAAGTTCGACAAACTCGGCAAGTGAACTGAGTTACAAGCCACTTTGAACACTGTATCAGTAATATCATAGTACAGCATCTGATATTACAGAAAAGCTGTCACAAGTAGACAAAGGTTACAAAGAGACAAAGGTTACAAAGGTAATAATTCAAAGCTACTGATATTGTGCTCACAGATCCAAAATCAAAATCTGGGCAACCCTGCCATCAGAAGTCATGACCTGTGCATCCTGGCATGTTTAACTAAGTAAATCGACACAAGAATTTGCGGACTCTCAGACCATAAACTTAGACAAAATAACGTTCACTGCTGCAGATGATGACAGTGTTCACGAATAGCGTCTGACCCTCTGACAAATCCGGCAGATTCGCCAACAGTCTGATAGAAGTCTAAAACCCACCGGCCCCAGTGACTTTGACTGAAGTTGTTATATGTGACATGTGACACTTGTTTGCTGTTTATAAATCTTATGTTTGTTAATAATTTCAATGCCAATTATAAGAAATGTTCAATCTGAAATGTGTGTTTAATTTCATTCTATGGGTCCTGTGAATTTTCAATGGGTCAGACAGAAATCTGAAACTGTCCTGTTACTTTGAAACACCATTCGTGAACACTGTGATGATTTACATGTATACACATATCTTGTACATAACTGCACCATAAATTGGAAAGTACCGGTAGTAAACGCTGTTACCATGAACACCATTAACCTCAAGTCTAAAGGCAAGGCGTGTCAACCCATTTCTGGTTCCCCGCACATTGATATTGCTGAATATTGCTAAAAACGGCGTTAAAGCATACTCACTTACTAAAGGCAAGGCCAACAAAGTTCTTGTTGGGGCATATCTTGATCTTGAGCTGGTGATGTTGTCTTGCTCATTATACTTTTAGTGATAATTAGAAGAGTGTGGTCTCTTATGAATATGTGAGAAAAATGTAATTTTTGGAGTAAAATTGATATTTTATACTTATCCTGACTCATGCTCTTTTTGCTTGTCTTCTTCTTCTTGCGAACATAGTGGAACACTTGTATCTCCCTAATTGAAGCTCCCTTCAATTTAAAATCACTAATTAGTATTCACCACGAGTTACCTCCTTTCCACAAGCTCGGGAACGAGGGCGCCACCTCTACCCATGTGCCTCACTCTCTCCTCATATACTGAGCCCAACATTTGAATTTACAGGGAAATCCAAAGTGTTATTTGGGGAGGATGGGAGGGCTGACCTCATGAGTCAGGATAAGTATAAAATATCAATTTTACTCCAAAAATTACATATTTTTCCCTTATCCTGACTCATGCTCTTTTGCTTGTAGCATCCCACGGAACGGAGGTGGGAATATCTAATACTTTGGATTTTTAATAATTAGTGATTTGAACTGTGATGATTGTAATAACCCTATGGGAACTTCATAAAGGCACTGAACTGATGAATTCCTGCTGCTAACTTATCAGCTGCCATATAAAAGGTTATTACCATGTACTTATTATGATAAAGTATATATAACATTAATACAATGCTTAAGACTAATAGACTTAAGCTTGTTAATATGCTAGTATAAACTCCTTAGAGTTTGTTAGCTAAAATACTTTAAGATATAACATAGTACTAAGCTTAAGATATGATTAAACTTAAGCTAATTATATAATAGCAAACTCTTTAGAGTTTGTTAGTTAATATACTTATATGATATAGATATAATGCTGAGCTTAAGATATGAATAAGCTTTAGCTACATATATATAATAGCAAAACTCTGTAGAGTTTGTTAGCTAATATATTTTTATAATATGAGTATAGTACTGTGCTTAAGCTATAATTAACTTAAGCTACATATATAATAGCCAAACTCTGTAGAGTTTGTTAGCTAATATATTTGTTAGCTAATATATATTTATAATATTAGTATAGTACTGAGCTTAAGATATAATTAACTTAAGCTACATATATATAGCAAAACTCTGTAGGGTTTTGTTAGCTAATATATTTTACAATATGAGTATAGTAGTGTGCTTAAGATATAATTAACTTAAGCTACATATATAATAGCAAAACTCCGTAGAGTTTGTTAGCTAATATATTTTACAATATGAGTATAGTAGTGTGCTTAAGATATAATTAACTTAAGCTACATATATAATAGCCAAAAAACTCTGTAGAGTTTATTAGCTAATATGTTTATAGTGTAACCATAGTACTAAGCTTAAGATAAGATTAGACTTAAGCTAAAAGTATATAGCAAAATAAACTCCTTAGAGTTTATTAACTAATATACTTTTATGTTAAAAAACATAGTCCTGAGCTTAAGTTATGATGAAACTTAAGCTATATATATATATAACAAAACTCACGAAGTTTGTTAGCTAATACCTTTATAATGTAAAACATACTGCTTAAGATATGATGAAACTTAAGCTAATTGTATAATAGCTTAAAACAACCCTTTAGAGTTTGTTAGCTATGATATAAACCTAGTATTGAGCTTATGAAGGAAAACTTAAGCTACATATATAATAGCAAGAACTCCGTGAGAGTTTGTTAGCTAATACATGTTATAATGTAACCATAAAGCTTAAAATATGATGAAACTTAAGCTTAAATATATAATAGCAAAACCCTCTTTAGAGTTTTGATAGCTAATATACCTATATGATATAAACATAGTACTGCTTTAAGATATGAATAAGCTTAAGTTACATATATAATAGCTAAAACTCTGTAGAGTTTGTTAGCTAATACATGTTATAATATAACCATATTGCTTAGAAATATGATGATACTTATAGCAAAAACTCTTTAGAGTTTGTTAGCTAATCTACTTATATGATATAAACATAGTACTAAGCTTAAGATATGAATAAGCTTAAGCTACCTATATAATAGCAAAACTCCTTAGAGTTTGTTAGCCAATATATTTTAATAATATGAGTATAGTACTATGCTTAAGGTATAATTAGCTTAAGTTACCTATATAATAGTAAAACTCCTCAGAGAGTTTGTTAGCTTAATTAACTTAAGCTATGTATAAAATAGCCAAAAACTCTGTAGAGTTTGTTAGCTAATGCATTTATCATGTAACCATAGTATTACTCTTAAGATATGAATAACTTAAGGTAAATATATATAATAACAAACTCTGTAGAGTTGTTAACTTATATATTGTATGATGTAATAATCATAGTACTGTGATGATAAAAGGAACTTAAGTAAATTATACATAGCATGAAGCTATTTAGTATTGTTATAAGATAAGTAAAAATCTGTTAGATTGACTTATCTTCTCCGAGGAACTGTCAGCTGTTGTGCGAGGACCATGGGATCGAATTGGTGTATACCTGAGACGTCCTCGGTGGTGATATCTCTCAGATAATGGTTTGCAACCACCATATCGGATTTCCAGAAATAACCCTCCATTATTTCAATCACATTTGTGTAGAACAATTGTAGAAGTTAGCTTATAATATCATGAGTATTAAGCTCATGGAGGGTCGGAATAGGTCCATCCGCATATGCACGTAGTATGACAGTTCTGATCCAAATGGAGATATAGTACATGAGACTTCACTCATGCGAAGTTGATGATAGAGGAAATAATCTGTTGCATTTTTCCTCCTGTTTGGTTTGGTGGAGATAAATTTACAGTGCTCTTGCTGGCCAACTTGATAGAATCATCGATCATGGGGTCCAAGTATGTCATCCAGGCGTTGTTCATAAACCCTCACTTGTGAGATGTTGGAGCACTATATTCATATCCCCAGGTTGGGCGAAATTTCGCTTTTATTCTCCAAACAGAAGTTTAGTAGGTTTACTAACCATCTAGTTGTGTTAGTCGCTGATGAAATTCAGCTGTAGTCTGAAAACGCTGTGGATTTAGATCCACTTGTATCTTCGCTCTAGGTAATTCGCCATGGTCCTTTTGACGCATGTAGGTGCACAACCAGGTGTGTCTGTCCTCGCTTGAACTTTATGTAAAATCGCCACTGACTGCCGATCCCTCGCCTTAACTTGACAGGGGGAGGTCTCTAACTTGAAGAAAGGCAGTCTAATCATGAATGTTCAGGTTAACTGGACTGTAATGAGGCTTGCTCGCTCACTGATATATAGTTGTCACTTGTGACGTAAGTCTTGAACTGTGAATTGAGATCGACCTCTGTGTAGGTCGTTGTCCCCTCAGCGGTCCAATCAGAACAAGGCATTTTGATTCTGTATAATACCCGGCGCTGTGATGTCACCGTGTAGCGGGAAAACCCACCTTGAATAAATTCTTGTCGCCGCTGATATTAGCATAAACGCCGGTCTTCACCGTAGCTTCCGGGTTATCCGGAGTGACCACGCGTTTCGAGGGTTAATGGTAATCGCTGAAACCTCCGGCGCCAAATATCTCGCTTCTGTAATTTTATGCTGGGTAGGTTATTTTCCCTGGTTGTCGGAAAGTAATTTCAGTTTTGAATATAATTCCGACTACCTTATATATATAGGGTATAAACAACTTGCAAGTTGTGAGCTTGTAGACTGTATACATGAATGTATCGGGCCATAATTGTAGAATTAACGCTGAACTTGTTGTACATATTTCTTTCTCAGAAACTTTGACGATTAAGAGTTATACTCGCTGTAACAAGGCTGCTGTTCAATTTCGATATTGAATTGTCTGCAGATATGCGTAATGGTCACGCATGTAGATAATCGTATCGCCGTCCGGGATTGTATATTAGCAATTTATAATGGAATAGTTGATTTCTGTGAAGATCTATGAAATGTCGCTGACTAATAATACAGCTTATCGCTCTGTGTTGTAAATAGCCTGAGCAATTATCTTCGCTGTGAGGCTTATAGATCGCATCTGGCATACAGTTGATAATCAACTTATGCGATGTCTTGAACGGACTGACGAAAGTAGCTATATATGACGAGTGGCTAGTATATGGAAACCTTGGAGGAGACTTCCTCGTGAACGCCGAGACTTCGCTAAGTTCTCAAGCATCCCTTCTAGATCTTCTGGGTGAAGTAGACTTGAGTTACTTTAGCCTTCGCGACCATCGCGAAGGTGTCGAAATCAAAGCCCGATTAGTATATATATATATATATAAATATATATATGAGCTTTGCTTCGCGGAACAGTCTCTGTGTTTAACAGGATGTGGATCGGGCTGCCGCTTGCCTGGTGAAGGGCCGCATGGATCATCTTATCATATTCAGAAGTCGTGTTACTTAAGTCTGGTGATAAGTGTCTAATTGATCGCTCTAGATCTATTTAGGCCAGCTTAACATACGCCTCGTCATGGGTTCAACAGAACCAATATACGATTGTAGTTCTTATACTTGATATCGATGATCAACTTGTCTATGGGTTGATCTTCTCGAGACTTGTGAGGGGAACGTTGATAGTTTCGGGGCTCTTGTATAGTCCCTCGATGTCCTTCTAGATGATGATGATCTGGATTCAGGTGTCCTTTCAAGATGCCTTCGCCGAAGCTTCCTCTGCGCGCCCGTCCGGGGAACGACGATATGACCTTCGCCGAAGGCTTCCGTGGATGTCTGATGGTCCGAGTCCACATCTAGGGATGAAACCGCGATAAGGTGATGATTTATCCTGCCTTCGCTAAGTCCTTCGCCGGCTGCTGTACATCTAGGTTCTTTCCCTCTCGCCGCTGGCTGCTGTACATCTAGGTCTTTCCGCCAGCTAAGGCCTTCGCTAAGGCTGTACATCTAGGTCCTTCGTCAAGGTGGTCCGTGACTCCCCTTCGCTGAAGGTGACATCGCCCCTGGCTGCTACGCTGACGGGGGTGCCTCTGGGTGCTGTTCACGCTTGGAGCCTTCGGCGGTTCGACCCTGCTACCGCGAGATATAGTGGTCCTCCATGATGTTCATAATTTGTCGCGATCATGTCTTCTGGATGGTCTGCGACGCAGGTCAGCCGGTGCTTTATCTGGCGGGTGTTAATGGAGGGGTCCACCGAAAATCGTCCGACATCAGTGTAGAGGCATCAGGCTGCATGGTGATCTCTGCTGATGTCGCTGTAGCTGTCACCGGTCGCTTCTTGTATGCACGCCGGGATGATGATCAGCTGATCATCGAGAGGTCCAGGTCATCGGCTGGAACAATCTCGCTGAGAAAGTCCTAGTAGACTTCGCTGATTTTCCTCAGAGGTCGACGCTGCCCTGGGTGTGCGACGCCTGGCGCTGGAGTGTTGGTAATGATGGGACCCTCAGGACGATCATCATCGATATCTGGCGCTTGGTACATCAGGCTGCATGCTGATCTGAGCCGACATCGGTCAATCTTTGATGTACATCTGGTATGATGACCGGCTGATCATCAAACAGGCCCAAACTGCGATGGGAACGGTCCCGGCTGTTGAGATGTGGTAGAAAAACCCTCTAGTCTTCTGCTGCGACGATGGGATGTCTGGGGAAGCAGGATGCTTCTTGAGATGGCGGACTACGCCCCACACCTCTCCACCACTCTAGCGAACACCACACGGAGGGGAGTCGGCCAACAGCAGTAGACTGGCGCAGGGTTCCGTGTATCAGTCATACTAGAGTCTGCATACGCCGACCTATCTGCTGTGCGCGCAAACGCAAAGTAAATATTAATAAAAAGGTAGAATTGGATAAATTAGTACCGCGAACTGCAATGTGAATATAATAAACATGGCTACTGCATTATCATATTAAAGGCGGATCAGCAGCAGCATAAAAACGTGAATCTGCAATAGTACAGAATTTTCATCAACGTAATCCACTGAAACAAACACGGCCCCGTGAATAAACTGTAGAAAAACGACTAAATATCAATATATAATCGCTGAAGGATACTAGCTAAACCTCTATAGATGTCTATACGAGGTAACTAACTAAATATATTTCAAAGGATATAGTGTGTCGGGAGACACAGGCGCTCTCACGTCCAGCTCACTGGGCGAAGAAGGAGAGAGTGAGGCACATGGGTAGAGGTGTCGCCCTCGTTCCCGCGCTTGTGGAAAGGAGGTAACTCGTGGTGAATACTAATTAGTGATTTTAAATTGAAGGGAGCTTCAATTAGGGAGATACAAGTGTTCCACTATGTTCGCAAGAAGAAGAAGACAAGCAAAAAGAGCATGAGTCAGGATAAGGAAAAATTGTATTTATTTACATACAGCAATATCACACCATACTTAAAGAGGCCTGCAAGTAATCAGGAATTGGCTGGGAAAACAAGTGATTGACAACATGAACAAGAATTACTGCTATGAATACACAATGCCATTTAGAAAGTGGTCAAATGAACATATGCTTTATTTGGGATTACACTTTCTTCGTAAAGTACAAATTTTAGTGTGGAAGTCGAGGTGGCTGAGAGGGTTAGTGTGCTGGCAATTTGGTGCCTGACTGAGGGTGTGGGTTCGAATCCCACAAGGGACTCAACCCAAAAAAGTACTAAAATTTGTACTTTACGAAGAAAGTATAATCCCAAATATAACATATGCTGCATGAATTACTGCTATCAGTGTACAGAGATGTAAGCCAGGTCACACACTGATTGACAACAGATTTTCATGTCAGCTCTTATGACAAGCAAGGTATTTCGGAGTCCTACATATTCTGCCATGAAATCCCAACTAGGAGTATAGCTTAATGTTGTTCTCTGGTTTCATGTTATAATTTATTGACTCACTCTAGAACCGGAGGGGGCACAGACAGCTGGTCAAAGTGGAGGTGGTTCTTCAACTCCATCAGGTAGTCCACATACATCATCTTCCTGCCAAACTTAGCACTGCAGTAAGAAACACAAGTTCACATGAGACAATGTAAATAACTTGTACGAATCATTTATACACTCGGATAATATTAATTATTATTTCATACGTAATACTTATGATATGATAATATATGTACCTTATGAATGGCTTGAAGATGTTCCATAGGATCTTGATGAAGTTTGTTGGATGCACCAAATATAAAGCCTTTAGATTTTTCTTGTATCTGAAAAACAAAATTGAGTCCAGATACTTCTCACACGTAACGCTTGCTGTAAACATGAATGAGTTATTCTTAAAGGGCAAGTGTACACCTTTAAAATTAACCTTTTGTCTTGCACGCTTTCTTCATAAAAGTGTTTATCAAGTCGCTTTATATCCAAACCCGCATATATACCAGAAGTAACTAATTTATTATTTATGCGCTATATCAATTCATATTTTCAACATTTACCAAGAGTTCTATGTCCACAATAAACACACCATGGCTTATGTCCCTTAGAAATGACGCCATTGGTGCCCAAACGATAAACGAATGACGCCGCCAGACCTTATTAGACCCATTTCACGTGGTGCAGGTATAGGTGTGGTTCTTGTGTCTCGATGCGCAGGCTACTGTTTTAATCCACCTGTTGCTTGGCCGCCAGCTTGCTATGTGGTCAGTTCTACACTGTAATGACGCTTGCAGTTTGAAAAACGATACATTGTACTAAGAGTGTTACCACGCAACCAAATTGTATAACATATACAACCTGAGTCGGTCGTCTTCCAACAGTACCTTTTTCATGAAACCTATAAAACGTGATGCACTACATCTTGCTTGCCATCGGTGAATATGCCGGCATTCTACGCTTGTTACTAAAGTTCTTACATAAATCGCACGATATGTCACCCTCTTCCACCTAATTCACTTTTATATCGATAGTACTCTACATCACGCAGATAAATGCAATTTGCAGTTTTGAACACTGTTTGAAATTCGCTTTTCTATGATAGCATCCGCTGATTGTAGATAAAATTTACTGAAAATTACATGCATCGTGAATCTCGCCAGTTTTGACACATTACTAAATCACCATTCACCGCGCTTTATGTGAATTTATGGTAAAATGTCAAATTTTACTGGGAGAATTGAATTTAAAAGAAAAAGATGTATCATTGTGATCAGCAATAGTTTTGTTGTTGTATGATCAATCACTAATGCTCGCTCTGAAACATTATCAATGAACCGAGAATCGCTGAGAATGTTTTGAAAAATACGCAAACGCCAAAGTGAAGTTTCAGCCATATTACATAGTGTTTATAAAATCACGCCACATGTATGTCGGTTATGTTTCGGCCCATAAAATTCAACACCATCTTCCTTACATGAATCCCTGAATTCCTCATACAGTTCAAAATAAACTGACAAATGGACTTTGTCACCAATAGGAAGTGTTTCAGTGAAATCTAACAAAAATATATCGAAGATATGAGTTGCCGCTACTGTGAAAGAATACTTGTTTGAAATGTATACAAAGCCAATCTCAGATTTTACACTTTGTATCCGTCACTTCACTTGTTGCATACAATTGCTCATTAGTTTTAGAACATGCATGGGAAAGGTATCGTGAGCGCTTTATAGTTAAATAAAACAGGTGTATGCCAATGGTTTTCTAGATACATCACAACATATTATAGTTTTGAAAGCATGACGCCATAACTGACGAAACTCACGCGACAACGATGACGGTACTTCTCTTAATTTCTGACTATTTCCCTTGGTCACAATGAAAACAAAAGAAAATAACAACCAGCAGACTGTCAGAAGTTTCGACTACTTACATGTCACATTTATGCATATACGCGCTGCTTGAAACAACGAAAATGTCCTTCGAAAAATTCGCGGTCAGTGAACACGCCCATTTTGCAAAAGTCGCCTCGATAGTGATGTCATACGGACGCCAACATTGTTATACATATTTGGTATTTTCATTGAGGCGAGGTTATGAATGAAAATACACACGACCAACTGGCCCTGCTGCTTACATTTTCTGTTCTTATGCTTCTTCAGATTTTCACTTAACTTTTTTCACGGATTAATATCAGTATTATTATCTTTTGATTTGGGACTAGACAGGAGACCAGTTTAAATTCAAGTGGCACCAATTACGCCATAATCAAAGGGCGTAACTCTGGCCTGTTTAGCTCGGCAAAAAAATACCTCATATTGGCATAACATTTCAGCGCTTATTTTGAGGGTTATACTTACGTTGTAAAAAAAATGAGTGTATATTTTCAAACATTGGTATTAACTTATTAAAACAGTTCACTTTGATTCACATAAGAATAAATGTGATTTATTCGTGTACACTTGCCCTTTAAAATTTAGCACTTCCATTACAAGTAGCATCTCATCATTCTTACAATCCTATATAGATTGTTTGTATGGCAGGAATAAAAATATACAAGAAAGTATGATTTTTGCTGTCTATTTTTTATAAGACCCAACCCAAGGGCAAAGTTTTTCTTGCGAAAACACAATAACCTCTCATTGTTCATTAAATTGAACAGGGAAGACATTCACACGAAGGTGATTGCCGCCAGAGTACGGTGATCTTACATCCGATAAAATGTCACCTTCCTGAGAATGAACCTCCAGAACAGCCCACAAACAGTTGGTCGCATAGTGAAACCGTTTAATGCCATTATTCTGCTTTTATGTGAAGCATGGGCTATCAACTAGATCAAGGAAATATTCGGCTTATTTATTACCACAATTAACTAAATGTACAATGCACGCTTCAGATAATGCCCAGATCTATACAGGTTCTAAAAAGTCACTCTGTTGATATGTTTCTGAGCATCTAGTTAATCCTCTCAATGCTACTGTCTAAGCAGCAGCAGGACTGCAGCATAATGACATCCCCCCAAAAAACTTGCAATAATTATTCAACAAGTCGGATTTACGTGTCATTTGAAGTGCTTGGATTAATCTTGAGAGTCATGGATATCTTTGTCATAACCTAGATTTAGGGTTTGATTGATTGCTGTTTAACGCGACACTCAGCAATATTCCAGCTATATGGCGGCGGTTTGTAAATAACTGAGTCTGGACCAGACAGTTCACTGATCAACAGCATGAACAATGATCCACACAATTGGGATACGATGACATGTGTCAACCTCAGACCACACAATCCTGTTAGTCGCCTCTTACGACAAGCATGGGTTACTGAAGACTAATTCTAACACGAATCTTCATGGGTCCAAGTTAGGGATTATGTGATTTAGATGCTATAGAGGACCTCGTGGACATCAGGAACCCCCTTAACTTACATGACTCTGCAAAATGTTTAGTTTTGTTTGGACACAAATTTCTTTTTATCATGCAGAAATAACATACACAACCATAATATTCAAAAGATAATTAAAAGACAAAATCAGAAATTCTTGATATTTTTGTTTTTAAGTGTTTTCCTATAAATCACAGACCCCAAATGAACTTGATAATGTCATTCCATTTGTTCCTTTACATGCCTGAAACTATCTATAAAACTGGTATGGCCTTAAAGAGGGCATTTTCAGTACACAAGGCATAAGGAAACAAACACCTCTTTTTGAACTGTCAACCTCTGTTTGACTAAGTTCCTTATGTTGTAATTACCCAGGAAGTGATTCAGGTTTCAATGAATGTGAACAGGAAACTATTTTATTGATTGAACCACTTCAAAAATACTACCACTTGAAACCCAGTGAGAACATAATGTACATTCATTGAGAACAATTATGATCTGGGTATCCTTAGTATAAAGGTAAATGGATAGTTTACATACAAAATATCAATGTTTGAATATGTGCTGGAAAAACAAGTCATTTTCCTACCAAATTGTTGTGGAGAAAGGTAGCACAAACATATCAATGAATGAAATATATAATACAGACCATAAGCTACAGCACCTATGTGAGCATTCAGTTGAATATATCATATTCACAGCCTTTGATACAATGTGCAGAACCAATCTCAGTATGTTCTTCCTAAATTAGGGGAATAACTCTCAACATGTTGAGTACTACTAATTTACAAAAATGATACACATAACATTCATATTTCTTTATACTGTTCAGTATTCGATGCTTACTGATAGTTCACTTTCTAAAGCATATACTGATTATATTCTTTTTAAAGCTGCTTTTTGACTGAATCAAGAACCAACACATCTTCCACATATGTTTGGTGGTGTAAGGATACTCTGGTTCCTTAATGCAGGTGTCACGTATAAGTAAAAGATCAGTGAGATTGTTGGCTGATGCTTAACTTCAAACAGTATAATTCATTTGAAAATGCTTAGCAAAGAGTCATTTTCTCCCACTTACTTTCTGTCGAACTCCTTGTATGCCTGCATGAGCCAGGAGAGTTTTGGCTTGTTCCTGCTGGAGAGGCCATAGTGGAAGTAGACTATCACATAGTCCTCCTCCACGTACTGGTCCAGAGTGTGGCGTATGTACCTGGAACAGGGACATCATCATGTAGGTGTTTGTTGCAGAACAGCTTGGTCATGGCTGCCTGTGACGAAAGCCTGGACAAGATATATCTGTGACTATTATAACACGCATCAACCAATTGTTGGACCTTGGCAGTGATACTTCGCAATCAAACCTGGATCTTGAGAAGATATAACTACGATAATTCACAATAAAACCTGGGAGAAGATACAGCAGGGGTACTTCACAATCAAACCTGGATCTTGAGAAGATATAACTACGATAATTCACAATAAAACCTGGGAGAAGATACAGCAGGGGTACTTTGCAATCAAACCTGGATCTTGAGAAGATATAACTACGATAATTCACAATAAAACCTGGGAGAAGATACAGCAGGGGTACTTCACAATCAAACCTGCACCATGAGATGATATTACTACGATAATTCACAATAAAACCTGGGAGAAGATACAGCAGGGGTACTTCACAATCAAACCTGGATCTTGAGAAGATATAACTACGATAATTCACAATAAAACCTGGGAGAAGATACAGCAGGGGTACTTCAAAATCAAACCTGCACCATGAGAAGATATAACTACGATAATTCACAATAAAACCTGGGAGAAGATACAGCAGGGGTACTTCACAATCAAACCTGCACCATGAGAAGATATAACTACGATAATTCACAATAAAACCTGGGAGAAGATACAGCAGGGGTACTTCACAAATCAAACCTGCATCTTGAGAAGATATAACTACGATAATTCACAATAAAACCTGGGAGAAGATACAGCAGGGTACTTCAAAATCAAACCTGCACCATGAGAAGATATACTACGATAATTCACAATAAAACCTGGGAGAAGATACAGCAGGGGTACTTCAAAATCAAACCTGCATCTTGAGAAGATATAACTACTGATAATTCACAATAAAACCTGGGAGAAGATACAGCAGGGTACTTTGCAATCAAACCTGCACCATGAGAAGATATAACTACAATAATTCACAATAAAACCTGGGAGAAGATACAGCAGGGGTACTTCACAATCAAACCTGCACCATGAGAAGATATAACTACGATAATTCACAATAAAACCTGGGAGAAGATACAGCAGGGGTACTTCAAAATCAAACCTGCACCATGAGAAGATATAACTACGATAATTCACAATAAAACCTGGGAGAAGATACAGCAGGGCACTTCAAAATCAAACCTGCACCATGAGAAGATATAACTAACGATAATTCACAATAAAACCTGGGAGAAGATACAGCAGGGGTACTTCGCAATCAAACCTGGATCTTGAGAAGATATAACTAAGATAATTCACAATAAAACCTGGGAGAAGATACAGCAGGGGTACTTTGCAATCAAACCTGGATCTTGAGAAGATATAACTACGATAATTCACAATAAAACCTGGGAGAAGATACAGCAGGGGTACTTTGCAATCAAACCTGCACCATGAGATGATATTACTACGATAATTCACAATAAAACCTAGAAGATACAGCAGGGGTACTTCACAATCAAACCTGGATCTTGAGAAGATATAACCACGATAATTCACAATAAAACCTGGGAGAAGATACAGCAGGGCTACTTTGCAATCAAACCTGCACCATGAGAAGATATAACTACGATAATTCACAATAAAACCTGGGAGAAGATACAGCAGGGGTACTTCGCAATCAAACCTGCACCATGAGAAGATATAACTACGATAATTCACAATAAAACCTGGGAGAAGATACAGCAGGGGTACTTTGCAATCAAACCTGCACCATGAGAAGATATTACTACGATAATTCACAATAAAACCTGGGAGAAGATACAGCAGGGGTACTTCGCAATCAAACCTGCACCATGAGAAGATATAACTACGATAATTCACAATAAAACCTGGGAGAAGATACAGCAGGGGTACTTTGCAATCAAACCTGCACCATGAGAAGATATTACTACGATAATTCACAATAAAACCTGGGAGAAGATACGGCAGGGGTACTTCGCAATCAAACCTGCACCATGAGAAGATATAACTAACATAATTCACAATAAAACCTGGGAGAAGATACAGCAGGGGTACTTCGCAATCAAACCTGGATCTTGAGAAGATATAACTAAGATAATTCACAATAAAACCTGGGAGAAGATACAGCAGGGGTACTTTGCAATCAAACCTGGATCTTGAGAAGATATAACTACGATAATTCACAATAAAACCTGGGAGAAGATACAGCAGGGGTACTTTGCAATCAAACCTGCACCATGAGAAGATATTACTACGATAATTCACAATAAAACCTGGGAGAAGATACAGCAGGGGTACTTCACAATCAAACCTGGATCTTGAGAAGATATAACTACGATAATTCACAATAAAACCTGGGAGAAGATACAGCAGGGCTACTTTGCAATCAAACCTGCACCATGAGAAGATATAACTACGATAATTCACAATAAAACCTGGGAGAAGATACAGCAGGGGTACTTCACAATCAAACCTGCATCTTGAGAAGATATAACTACGATAATTCACAATAAAACCTGGGAGAAGATACAGCAGGGGTACTTCACAATCAAACCTGCACCATGAGAAGATATAACTAACATAATTCACAATAAAACCTGGGAGAAGATACAGCAGGGGTACTTCACAATCAAACCTGGATCTTGAGAAGATATAACTAAGATAATTCACAATAAAACCTGGGAGAAGATACAGCAGGGGTACTTTGCAATCAAACCTGGATCTTGAGAAGATATAACTACGATAATTCACAATAAAACCTGGGAGAAGATACAGCAGGGGTACTTTGCAATCAAACCTGCACCATGAGAAGATATAACTACGATAATTCACAATAAAACCTAGAAGATACAGCAGGGGTACTTCACAATCAAACCTGGATCTTGAGAAGATATAACTACGATAATTCACAATAACACCTGGGAGAAGATACAGCAGGGGTACTTCACAATCAAACCTGGATCTTGAGAAGATATACATGTACCAGTGATGTTTTACAATCCATTAGGAATATATCCTAACAGGAATACAAACCACGAATGTGATAACATCAATATCTATGAACAACAACTTTCAGGATATTCAAGGATGCAGCATCTTAACTTCCTCCTGGATGGCTGTTTGGTAAAACAGTAACAACATGGAAACTCATAGAACATCAGTCACTTTCCACTGGCCTATCATAACCATTCAGGAAACTTAATCATTAACCAAAAGAGTGAGGCAGTATGGTTTTACGCCGCTTTTACTTTTAGCAATATTCCTGCAACATCACGGCGGGGGACACCAGAAATGAGCTTCACACAATGTACCCATGTGGGGAATCGAACATGGGTCTTAAGTGTGACGAGAGAACGCTTTAACCACTAGGCAGCCCAACTGCCCGTCATCCAAAAGAGATTGAATTTATCCTGTTCATCTATTTTGCAAGAAAGACAGCTACAACAGGAGGTATTGACACATTAACCACTGACCAATACTTTAACGTTTCTTGTTTTTCTCATATTTTTTAACATGTTATCATTAATGGAACCAGTACTGAGATCTGGATTCAGGAGATCCTGAGAATCTCATACTACAGCTGAAAATATGGAGAACCTAAGGACCCCAAACACTTCAAATACTGAAATCATTCCTTTTTAAAAATACTCACTGTAAGAGTCTCTGGTGATCAAAGGTTTTGTTGGAAGGTAGTTTACATGAAGAAAACACAATGACCTTTCTTCCCCACAAATCGTCCCCTGAAAACAAATATTTACATCATTACAAGTGATTCACTTCAGACCATCAAACATGCAAAAGACACAGAATCAACTGAATTTAATACATTGCAAGGTGTTGTTCTTGCTTCCAGTGTTTAAAGATCACTCAGTAATTTTGGTTGTTCTGTACGACTCATGTGGGAGTAGGGTACCAGGGGCGGATACAGCTTTTTGAGAACCGGGGGATGCATTTTCACCCGAGTTTCAATGGTCATTTAACAAACATTCAGCGCAAAAGGGGGGGTGGGGGTGGGTGGTTTGCACCCCTGCACCCCCGCCCTGGATCCGCCTATGGGTACACTCACCTATTTGGATTATTCAAGATTTATAAGATTGCAACTTATTCTAGTTATATTTGAGAGGTCAATGGCCAACCTGCTACTTCGATGATCCCATACTTCTCCACATCACTGAACTCGCTCTGGGCCTCCTCCTCCTGAAACAACAAGGAACAGTCCACTCTGAATGTTCATCAAGGTGCCATGTTATCTGAATCTTGTTGATTTGTGCCTACAGTGCCTACTATAGAAGCCAGAAAGGAGCATGAGTGAGTGAGTGAGTATGGTTTTATGCCGCTTTTAGCAATATTCCAGCAATATCAAGGCGGGGGATACCAGAAAATGGGCTTCACACATTGAACCCATGTGGGGAATCGAACCCGGTCTTCAGCGTGTCGAGCCAACGCTTTAACCATTTGGTTACCCCACCGCCCCAAAGGAGCATGACATTTCTATAGTGTTTCGGGGTGGATATTACATACAAGATGCATATTTCCTTTTTGAAACCAAACTTACAGTAATTTATGAGTTGAAAAATTTTCCCTTGTCTGAACTACGAATGCTCTACTGTTAGGAAGGATAACAATATATGGATGAACAACTTCTTTATTGCTGTGAGAGCGACGTTTCGGTGTGTCACTTGCTTGATAACAGTGTTACAACCTACACCGAAACGTCGCTCTCACAGCAATAAAGAAGTTGTGCATCCATATATTGTTATCCTTCCTTACTGCTCCAACTTCTAAATGCCTCTCAAAGAAGTTATGCTCTACTGTTATAATCATGTACAAGAGAGAACATCTTTCTTCATCTTAACATTATGACTAATAATACATTAATATCAACAAAGTTTTGTGACAATATTTTCAGGACTGAAGAAACATATTAACAAAACACCTATTTGAAACAATGTTGAACCTACAAAGAAGCAAATGAAGTTATAGTGAGGGAGTGGCTATAGTTTTACACTGCTTTTAGCAATATTCCAGCAATATCATGGAGGGGGACACCAGAAATGGGCTTCACACATTGTATCCATGTGGGGAATCGAAATGGTCTGAATTTTAACAAATCTGGACCACAAAATGAATTTTCCTTTGGTAAAATTATGCAACGCATTTGTTCAAGATTAAGACAAAGAAAAGCAACTACTGTTTGACAGAGACTGCCTTGGCCAGTGAAGTGATACACCATATACACATGCCCAATAGTACCCACCTGGGGTGTACCCAGCACCTTCTCGAAATCCTCCTCAATGATGCCATCAGGTGTGATCGCCCCGCTCCTGAATGCTCCACCTTCTGCCTCCTTTGCCAATTCTGAAACACAAAGACAAAGTAATGAACTCACAGAAAGCCTGATCTGGTATGAACCCACCTTACACTTGTCCTCAGCAGCATGTTTCAAACAGGGAAACAATGTCTTCTATTAATGGTGCTGGTAGCTCCCTCTCCATATTATCAATGTGAAATTTGCTTTAGGTATAAGTCTTTGAGACCATTGGTAACTGTTAACCCTTGATACAATATATTAACAATTCAACACAAAAATCGTCAAAATATGTAACATTACTATAATCAAAGACGTAAATTTACGTCTTTGCTACAATGTACAAAAATGAAATAACAAGGAGAAAATTAAAGGTCTATGGAACTAAATGATGATAGGTGGAATAGCACATAACAATGAATATGATTTCAAATATAATGTGTCAAGCTCGCACAATATGCTACAAGCAAAATTAAATATGTGAAATGATTTCTAGTTTTCCAACACCATTACCATGATTACCCGTCCATTTGGCATGCGCTATAATCTGACCCATCATAAACCCTGTGCATGTGCAGGGCCTGTGTGTTCTCTGGCTGGCAAATCAATTGTAACATATCTGCTGAAATTGAAGCCACATATTCCTTGTTTCCTCTTGAAATAAGCAGATCTAATAAAAATTTCCTCAGCCTTAGTCCAAAGCAAAAATCCTTGTTTCACAGGATGGTTTGGTCATAATAGTTTTCTGTGTGTTGGACTGTAGTGTTGCAATTAAAATGAAGAGACTGGGTTTTCCATGAAACAGGAATTCCACTGTCTGGCACAGCACTAATGGCTGATAATATTTGTAGACTGAAACCAGAGACATCGCTCTAGGGACTGAATACATGATGTGGCCTGTGCAGTACATCAAACAGTTTAATGTTGACTGCAAGTGATTCTAAACAGTGTCTGCATGACCCTGATCTTTGTCCTAATTAAACAATAAACACACATCATAGCTTTTGCTGAAACTTTTTGCATTAAAAATTCAGAATTACTGATTGCAAATTACCAATTGAGAAGACTCTGGGGTTGTGATGTTTGGTGAAACTGACCAAGCTGACCTAACATTGACGTTGTCCTAATCCAATCAAATGTTCACCACACTCATAGTGTTCATATCACATGTATATTATACATTAACAATCCCGCCTTTTAGTCTCCAACACTGCTCCAGCTGAGCTGCATATTTGCACAACATAGCCAACATTCATCTCCATTACCCAATTAATGTTGAGTTATTGGTGTACACATATGAAAGAAAAATTAAAACCAGACATGGCGTAACACTGCATAATTTCCCAACAAACCCTTTTCATGCCAGTATTTCTTTACACACCGATTTAATTCAGGTGTCACACTTACATGAACAATACGGACATGAATAATGCATAACACAGGCACTATATCTTGTTTCTTGTTCAGTAAGACACATATACTGTGCCTGGGATTTATGTAACATTGTACATGCCAGCACAGACATAGATACACCAATAACATAAAAATGTCCAGTAAAGTTTAAAAACACACGATAGACTGGACACGAATAACCAAAGAAAACTCTTAATACTCAATGTTTGTTTGTTTCACTCAACGCCACACTCAGCAATATTTCAGCAATATGGTAGTGGTCTGTAAATAGTTGGGACTGGACTGGCAAGAGTCTCAATGTACGCAGTTGAGATACAATGACATGTGTCAACCAAGTCAGCGAGTCTAACCATTTGATCCTGTTAGTCGCCTCTTATGACAAACATGGGTTACTGAAGACCAATTCTAACCCACATCTTCTCGGGGTACAAAACTCAATGTGAATGATAACTTGCTATTTATTAGGGGTGTCACGATACACCAATCTCACGATACGATGTGATCACGATTTTAAGGTCACGATACGATACGTATCGCAATACATAATTTTCGCGCCTTTTTGCGGAAGGCTGCTTAAAGAGGGATGTAAATCTGAGATACTTTACTAATAAATTCTTGTAACAATCATGTTAGTTTTGCTAATAACTCAAGTCACAAGTTTCCCTTTTATATGTCACAAAAGCTGTTAGTTTCCAACCTATTTTTTAAGTAAAGCTAGCTACATTTATTTATCGGAGCGGTCTCGTATAATTTTACCATCAAGACTTTGAAGGAGATGGATATAGCATAAAAATTTGAATCGATAAAGTTTTAAAATAGGAATCGATACAGGCAAGCATGTATCGCGTATCGTATCGTCAGTAAAAATGTATCGATGCATCAATACATTTGCGTATCGCGACACCCTACTATTTATACTGTGAGTATTATCAGAAACCATCAATCTCCAAGTATATTCACCAGCATTTCTCTAGCATACTTGACCTGCATCCATCATCCAGAGAACCAAGTGTCATGCAGCAGGTGTTACTAGCCACAAGGTGTCTAATCCATAAAGAGTCAATGTCATGAGCTTTCTTCAGATCAGTGACCATCAATGCTTGCCAGTCTCAAAAGTGGACAGATGTGGCGACATCAGATTTATTACTCAGTCAGTAAGTTTAGGGCCATTGGGATTGTGTGTGCATGTCAGTCAGAAGGCCTTGGTTTCAGTGCTCAGACATCTGATTTTCCCTTCTGAGATACAGATGAACTTTTCTCGAAGCAGTGCATTAAGTAATATTCCCTTACCAAGAAAGGTGTTTGTACACTCAGCAATATTCCTGTTACACGATGATCAACAACAAGGCAGGGTATTTTGTGTGCAGTCTCTAATGTACAGCATAGCAGATGGGCCATTCAGTCAATAACATACAAGGCTCTGCCTTAAGACAGAAATAGTGATAACAGTCAAACACTTAGTGAGAGAGGAACAAACCTTGTCAATGCATAATACTTGAATACTAATTATAAAATAGAATAATTGAATACCACAACAAATAAACATCTATGTTCCAGATCAGATGAGGAGAAGCAGCAAAGATTCAAAATTACTAATGAAACTCAAAGCCATGCCATGTCACCAAAAAAACACACAACCATAGATTCTGAAACATTGTGTAAAAAATCTTGGGAACCCTATTTAACACTTCTTCTGTTAGATAATTTACATCACATAAAATAAAAAAAAACACACTAGCAAACAACCTTTTGGAACTAAGCATTAATATAACTAAATACCAAAAGATTAACTTGGGCTACAGCATGAAACACTACTTTAATCAAATAGGACTTAATAGCTGACAGGTTACCATAACAACAACTGGATTGAGCTGAGTCATTCTGGGTATGTATACACGGGATCTTTTGTCCTTACTGTTTATTTTCCTGGTCATGTTTTGCATTAGCAAATAACATCTGAGGGAAATCAGGTATTCACAAGTTAGGGTTCACTTCTGAATTTATGTGTGGTTTAAAAACCAAAACGCACTTCATGAATGAGGTGATAATACCATAATGACCCCAGGATCAAATGTACCATCTGATTTTTTACTATGAGTCTTTAAACTGAACCCACAATTCCATATATACCTTGCAAACCTCAGTTCTGCCACTATGATTATAACATCATTGATGATTGAATGGCTCTCCTTTAATTCTGATTAACTGATTGTTTGTAAGTGTCCATCTTTACATTATCATGGAGAAACGTGCCATTCAAAATTCAATTTATAATACAAAACGTTCAGCATGTAGAGATAATAAGTGTTCAGTTAGGACCTGTTCATCCAAATTTCTTTCAATAACACATCTGAATCTGACACACATACAAAAGAAGAATCGAAAGATTATAACCTAATCCTGAGATTCGGAATAGATACTATGAAATTAAAAGGTTGGCAGTAAATCAAACATGGAAACATGTAGTGACACAATGTATATTGTGACTGTAGTAATAAATCTGACTCCTCCAGCATCCCTCCAATCTGCAGATGTATGTAATGGTTTTGCAGTCTTCTATTTTTCTACTTACACACAACCGATATTTTGTCAAAATGCAGTAACATGGTTGACTCTCATTTTCAGATATTCCTTACTAAAAACACAATGCAATAAAAAAGCATATGCATGGTAATACAAATAGATGCTCCTCTACATGTAGATTGCACAAGTCTTTAAGGTAATAATTAATAGTTTAAATGATAATTGAAACAAAAATATAAATAAAATTAACACATTGTCCTGCCGTCTGTATATCTAAACTTGCCTCTTTGAAGGATGGAATGACTATACATCCATGGGCTTAATATTCACTACAGCCTTGGAGAAAGGCTACTCTGCATGTGACATGTTTGTAACTTTCAGAGCTGCAAATGTATACAAAGGTTAGCATTGTAACATTGTTTTTGCTGGAAAACCAAGCAGTGATCAATGTCCTGACCTACTAACCTTATATTGTCATCTGCTAACATGTGTTTCCTCAATTAACTACATGCTGAAAGGTCAAATAGTTTCCATGCCAAACACAGCATGTCAGAGCAAATAGACAAATTGTCACGGTCTGTCAAACACAACACACTGAGGTCATCACAGTCATGATTATCATGAATCTAAACTCCTTACAATTTCTAATATTACCACAATCTATCATGTTTCACTCCAACAAAATTACAGAAAGTCCAGTTAGTCTGATAGATGAATCGACATTAAATGACAGGAAAAGCTACATCTAGAGGTTAGCACACAGACCTAATACTGTTACAAAACCATATATGTTCAAAAGTCAGAATTAGAAATTAAAGTTCTAGAGTCTGGGTCTATCATAGATATTTGAAGTTAGAGAATGTGTTATCTCTTACCTTTAAAAATGTCATTTATGACAAGGACCCTTTCACTTCCCAGTTTAATTTGAAGTGCACTGATGCTTAGGAATATATAAACATCTTGTCGGAAAATTATTTGAGTTTCTGTCCATTCATACCCTACAACATAATAAATTACTACAAGAACTAACTACTCATCTGATCACTACTGTCAGTTGTACAGCTGTGAGTTATGTCTTCCCACAAAAAAATGTATTTTTTCTATCAACAGTAAATGTTGATATACAGCTTGATATAATTTTAATACAGAAATCATTAAACATGGCCAGTCAACAATGAAGCATGGACCCTATCGAGAATACAGATCATTACACTTGAAGTTACAGTCACATCAGACTGTAGATCACATCAGACTGTAGATCGTTCACAACAGTTGTTAAAACGTGTGAGACTTCCTGAAGACCTAAAAGCCTGGTTTTCTGTCACTTTCTTACAATGAAATGCTACATTTCTGAATAAAGCTGCAATAATTTTCAAAACCATTTGACATTTTGTACAAGACTGATTTTCAAAAACAAACTAAAAATAGGAAACTATGTAACTTAAGTTCTTTTGAAAAACAATTCTGTAACGTTTCTAAAGAAAGTAATAAAAAAGTTATAATCGAAAGAAGACAGCCCGCAAACATTTGAAAATAATTCAAAAGGTCTGACCTCATTTGCTAATGTTAAAACTGAACAATTTAGTAGTGTCATCAGAGTTACAAGACTACACCCCAGCTGAGGAAATAACCCTTGACACATGGAGCAAAGATCACCAACATAATTTGGTTTCATTATAGCATTCTTCAAAGGATTGAGGATTGCATCTGTCACTCAGCATCAACACGATATGCTCATTTACAAACCCAAATGCGACACAAGTCAAGTCTGAAATGTCCAACTGCGCATTATTATTGAGACAACAAACAACTTTGTGACGTTAACGTTACCTCGTAAGACGTAACACAATCACAGCTGTGATTGACAGGTGTCACCTCCTATAAGTCTGGGAGGTGATAAATCTTGATCCATTAGTACTACAACAGTGTTAGAGGTACTCAGGTATACAATGACTGCTTCACACTTACGTTCATGCCCAAATGGCATCATCCCTGTAAAACAATACTACCTTGAGAACAGGGTTAATGGTCGACAAGGCTCAGAAAGAGAACCACACTCAAGTTACCTTATTAAACTTATAATAATAAGAACTAACATACATGTAAGATATGATCTTAAGAACCATGAATAATAATAATAATAATAAAATGTCCTGAGGCTTAAAACATAGGTAATCCATTTATTATGATTTTGTACCACTTTTCGACTAACAGGCATTGAAGATGCATCTTACCAATATCAGGGATTTACCTCGAGTCCTGTATTTCAGGGTCCCTGGGACTCATGTTCTTAATTTTCAGGGGTCCTGGACTACAAAATGGGGGTCCTAGACACTTAAATATTACTATTAATACTGTTATTGTATTGTGTACCATGATCATCACATTGTAACAGTAATTAAAATGATACCATAACCCAGCTAGTTGCAAACTCAGTGATAACTTATTGTTACTTGATTGGAATTTATACAAAAAGTATTTGGACTTTTTCTGCATCCCTGTGGATGCGCTAATAAATTTCGTTGCGTCTAATGTGAAATTGTATGCGTATAGGATGCAGGAATTCGCGTCCTGTAAATCCCTGCAATATATCTGAGCATTCAACCTCACTGTACTGATTTATCAAATATATGCAAGAACATAATGTGTAACTCCTGAACCATGTATGCACCAGTTATATATATGTAGCTCTAAAAACTGACTACTTTAGGTGTAGCTTCACCTTGTACATGCATAATCGTCATGATATTTACCATTCAAACATTCCCACATCCAGAATGTTTACATTAATTTCAGTAGATTTTAACACAGGCTTCTTCTGGGTCACTACCTCAATACAACTGTCACATGGTGGGAAAACAGTCTCCTTTAAAGGTTTTGTTGGTTTGCTTTTGGGCCTTTTTTTATTACTGTTATCACAGTGGCATATGCATAACCTAATCTGTGCCAGGCCAACTTGGGGCTGATAGGTCTGAACAGCCTACACCATCTGGAGTGACATGCAATGGCTGAGTTGCAACAGAGTGCATGTGACCTATTTAACTACACAAGGCCTAGTCTGTCTCACAGTCCCTGAACCACATTATTTTCCCTACTGCCTAGCCCTCTCTGCAGTGCTAAAGCCCTAAATGAAACAAGTCTCGATTTCCTCAGGTTCTGAATCTCTGGTCTCCCTGGGGCTCCTTTTCAATTTAAATGGGCTTGTTTGTTACTATCAAAACTAGACATATTCAGAGACTAAGCATTAGTCTACACAAGGCCCTTCAATTGTGTACCGGGAAAGAGAGAGAAGCAGCCTTACAATCACTATTTAAGAAACGAGTTATTTCGCCCCTGATGCAAAGTTTGCCTACAGTAAATTTTGCATATATACATAAACCAATAAAACTTACAAACTATACACATAATGAAAGGGTTTGACTAAATATAGTCCATTTTCACTGAAAGTGGAACTTATGCTAGTACCTAGTAATCATTTACATTTGCATATTTATCCTTCAATGACCTTAATGGAACCATATTTATCCGTTGGCAGTAATCCTCTAAGAAGCCTACCCATTATATGATAGATAATCAGCTTATTTCTCTTCCCCTACATGTCGGTATATTTTATTCAAAAAGATGCTGTAGAGAAAAAAGACAAAATGGTGCCAAGAACTATTTTTAACAGCCTATTTTAATCTTAACAGGATGAACCAAGTATAGAGACATGTTGACAGGCAAGCTACATGACACAAGATGACAGGGGGGTAGAACGTTCCTCACACCAACTCCCTGACCATACAAAGCTGTGTCAGGACTGTCAACCAGTCGTACAGCTCCTATCAATCAAACTGTCAAACACATCAGACCACCTATCACTGACAGTCAAACTGCCAAGGAAATCATGTGTCTGCTTCTTGAAAATCAGGTGCAAACTAATGAAAGCACGTCAGATTGGTTTATCGCTGACTTGATTTCATATTTGAATAGGTTTTTTTTAAATTATGTGTGATTTTTAATCTGAACATATTTTTCACTAAAAGATGCCAGTTTGCAAGAAGAAATAGGAACCACCATGAATCACATACCAAGTGTTGTGCTGTTATTATGAGTGAGTGAGTGAGTTAAAAGTTAACGTCACCTCGGCAATATGCTGTTATTATGAATGGGAAAGTCCATCTTTTTTTTCAAGATGGTTTCATTTGGGAAGGCTCCATATTTTTCAGGATGATTTTACTGGTGAACGTCTATATGTATTCTTCTTGATGACATCACCTGAAAATGTCTACTTATTGTGAACAGGATGATTTCATTTGGGAAATACATATACTTTGTAGAAAGATTATCTCCCTTAAAATGTATAATTACATATGTCCTTCACGATTTCACTTGGGAATATCAGTAATTATTGTAAACAGGATGACTTCAACGTCTATTTATATCCTTCACAATGATTTCATTGGGAATGCCTATATATAACTTCAGTCATTTCAACATTTCACTTAGGAACAGTACAGTACTTCGAAATGGTACAAGGTTCCTCTGTACACTGATCCTGAATGTGGTATTTACCAATAAGGCAGTACTTCCTTGACTTCATCTATATCTACATATCTATCTGCCACCTTAGCCTAAGATCTAAACATAGTAAAAATCTTCTTGAAGTCTTAAAGGTCACATGCAACCAAAAAATCAAACATAATTAAAACACAATTATTACTTCTTCATGACATATAATATGCATTGCTGATTATGAAAAAACAAATAAACAAAATTATAAGCGTATAATCGCAAATCAAAAGTGCAATATTTTGTACATGGGTTTACCTCCCTCGAAACGAAGCAGCCGGGATACCGAACCCAGTCAGAGCGGGTGGGTGTGCACTCAAGTGTAACGGCTGGTTCATTAGCAGATGCCGCCTTCACGGCTCATTGTGTGTGTATATATAGTGATGTTGGGTTTTGTAAATACATGCTCATTTTTTGTGTATAACATTTTGCAATCAACAGACATCATAACATGTCATGTGTTCAAGTATCACACCTGCCTGTCTGTGTAATTACATAATGTGACAGAGACCGAACTCGGGCCATAAATCAATGCGTTTTGTTTATGGCGTATAGCCTGATTGGTGTTAAGTTCGAATTGCATGTGGTCAGTGATAGCAGCTGTGTATTGAATATTGTCATTAGCAGACAGGCAGGCAGACACACAGGTGTCAATAAACAAGACATTGAGTTTTGTCTGTGACAACGACATATCTAATCACAGTTAGAAATTCTGTCAAGGCTAAATAATGACATTGCTTTTAAGTATCGAACTGAGAAAGTGACTCGGTAAGAAGAACGTGTGGTGAAATAGACAAATGAAATTATATAAACAGTTAATTTACTGTCATAACATATAAAAAAGCTCGCGCCTGTGAGATATCAACAAAACATCAGGAAAATAGCTCACACCAAAGCCTTCACCGAGTATTCACCCGACAACCCGCTTCCAAGCTGCGCAAGCCTATTTACTTGCGCACGTGCTATGAGCGCAGCCCAGCTGTTGAAACCCGTTTTCCCCAGAAAAGTCTGGGGAAAATTAGTGAAACAGTAGTATAGGGAATGGGGGTTCTGTGACAGGCCGATTAAGAGCGTCATTATATATCTATTCCGCTTCCAGCCCCCAGTATAAATTAACAATTTCGAGCAGAGACACCATTCGATGCACATCATAGGAGCCTTAAAATCTGTAGAGTTTCGGCAACCCCGGGCGGGAACGAGGACGGCGCCAGATGCTAAGTTCCCCAAGGGGATTCTGTGACAGGCGAACTATGAGCGTCATTATAGGCCAATTCCTCTTCGAGCAGAGACATTCGATGCACACCACATCACCACACGAGCCTCCCCAAACATTCATAGAAGTCCTGGACGGGGAGCACAGCGGGCAATACGCTCTCGCTAGTGGCTGCGTCTGTGCTGGGGGTCGACGCTTTCCCTCCAGGGGCTGTATTCCATATTTTGCGTAGTCGATTGGAACCGATGCCGAATCGTTGTCTCGTTTCTTGTGCTGGGACTTTTCCATGCATCTTGCGAATCTCCTCCACTTGGTATTGTGATAGTTGTCTTTTTGAAGGCATTTGGTTGCGCAGTATATCTACATTCGCAAAAATTGTTTATATGGGAACACTAGACATACTGGGGTACACTAGACAGAACCTAGAAGTTTGCTAAGTATTGCTAAGCATTTGCTAAGTATTGCTAAGCATTTGCTAAGCATTACTAAACATTTGCTAAGTATTGCTAAGCATTGCTAAGCATTTGCTAAGTATTGCTAAGCATTTGCTAAGCATTGCTAGGAGATTCCTGGGAGAGGATTGGGATTCCTGGGAGAGGATTGGGATTCCCATATAGGCATATAGGAAGTATGGGTATATATATAACTAGGAAAAAACAACCATGCCACCAAAAAGAGATTTACCTTCGGATAAGATCCAAGAAATACGTTCCCTTCGAGGGGTGCTCCCAGCAAATGAGGTTAAAAAGCGCTTCGGTATTGGGTCCACAAGACTCTATGACATATGGAGAGATCCAATCGAAGAACCAGAAGTATCACTGCCAGTCGATGACCTACAAGTATCGTTGCCGGTCGGCGAACCACAAAAGGTGACTCGGGATAGTTCGAAAGTTACAATACCTGGTAGTACGTTACCAACCATCCAGGACTTCTACGATCGCCTGGGGAGTCTCGAGGCTCGTGTGGATCAAACCGCGAATACATCGTCGAATTTGTTGGTTGACATCCTGTCGAGGTTGGATAAGGATGATGACAATGACGAAGTCCTGGAGGAAATAGAAGAGGAACAAGAAGACACCCGTCTGGGTATCCAGAAGGTGCGGGAGATGGTAGAATCAGCCCAAAGGTTAACCTATGTTTCGATAGCTGCCGTATTACTCTGGAAGGTCATCCACAAGACCTGGGAGCATAGCAAGCCAGCAACACCCAAACCCCAAACCCCGGACCCCTTTCACATGTAGTAACATTCATTTAGACATTTGACTCCGCATAAGGTATACACCATGTGGCCCGTGGGAACCCATTATTGCAAATGGGTATTGCTCGGCAAGCCGACAGCCTGCGGTAAACGCTGTATGACTGAATATTGCCACTCGCATGCCCACTGTGTGAGAAAGGGTCATATCAATTATGTTTGCAAAGTATGCGGCATAGGGGTCAAAGGACATTATGGGTTGTGCAAAGACCATGGAAGGGACGTAGTTCGAAACCAACTTATTTACGATAAGAAGAAAGACTACCTCAACGAACGTAACCGACTGCTCAGGACGAAAGTTTAAGGTGCGCTTCATTTTTTGAAAGCTGACAGGGTTATCTGCACATTGAAAACGCCCTATTAGACATGTGGCTCCGCATATGGTATACACCATGACTACTGCCATCGAACTCAAAGCTCTCGCCAAAAGTCGTGGACTGACGGGTTATTCCCGCCTTAGGAAACCCCAACTGCTCACCTTGCTCGATATGAAATATACCAAGCCCCCTACCATGCGAGACCTCAAACTCCATGCTAAAGAACGCGGATTGAAGGGTTATTCCCGCATGAGAAGAGCCGAGCTGATCACCTTGCTGGAAGACACCAGGCCAGTCGAGTTGAGATTTGTGCAGACGGAGCATGCCGTGGGTAAGTATCTCCGGGGTTGGATAATGACGGTTGATTCCAATATCGATACCGGTACAGTCAAACCCCCCATCGCTAGTAAACTCCGCGAAGAACTAGGCGACTTGAAAAGCATCAAGTACCAACTAACGATGAAAATGGAGCTCCAAAAACAGAATACGGACGGCAGTACTGAGTACGTTGCACCTTATTTCAGAGGCAAGCAGGAAGTCCTAACCCAACCAGAATTGATTGAATCCTCCATCGACGCATCGTTGCAGAAAATACAAGAGTCGTTGGAGAGATATACCCATATGGGCTCTGGATGGGTGGTAGACAAAATCAACACCGTTTATCTCGACATAGCGAACTACATGCCGCTCAAAGGTGGGTTGCACATACCGGTGCCCAAGCATTTCAAGGCTAAAAAGGCCCTCGTTAACCCCAAAACCCAAGGCGAATGTATGTTAACGACACAGCGGTGGTGGCGGTCATAGCTGCTACGCATGAACCAACGGGCAATCCGGGCAGGCGTTCCAGCTATCCATCGATCGAAGAATCCGGGTTCGACTTCACGGGTGTAGAACGCTTAACACCCATCTCCTACTGGGCGCAATTCGAAAAGCAGAACAAGGTGGCCGTCAACGTGTTCGGCCACGAAGGCGACAAAACCATCGTGCATAGGATAAGCCCTGTGGGTGATAAAACGTATAGAACCAATATATTCCTCATCGAAAAAGACGGCCAGTATCACTACACGGCAATAAAAAATCTGAGCCGGCTGTTGCACGATCAATCGATGCACAGAGAAAAGAAACACTTCTGCGAACGATGTCTGCACGGTTTTACGAGAGCCGACCTGCTGCAAGCACACCAGGGGGATTGCTTAGGTGTAGGAGAGACGGCGATCCGAATTGACATGCCTAAGGAAGGCGACAACATCTTGAAATTCACCAACCACAAACATCAGATGCCTGTGCCTTACATGATCTACGCGAGACCGGCCCTCATCAAACGGGTCGGCCACGACGTGCCCAACACTGAGCAAAGTTTTACGTGCAAGACCCAAGAACACCAAGCCTGCGGGTTTGGGTACGTGGTCGTCCGATGTGATGGACAAACGAATGCTCCAGTCATCTACCGAGGTCCTGGCGCGGCCGAACGATTCCTGATGTGTTTGCAACAGGAAGAGAAAATCATTAGGAAAAAGGCTGTACACCGCTGCCCCCATGCGCATGACCGGAAGGACCAAGTCGCCCACAAGCGCAAGCTGAGAATTGCCATATATGTCAGGGGCCGCTGAATGGGGATGTTGTGAGAGATCACTGCCACATCACCGGCCGGTACCGAGGTGCCGCCCATAACGCGTGCAATCTCCAGCTTAGAATCAACCCTAAAACAATCAACATCCCCGCGTGGTCTTCCACAATCTGAGAGGGTACGATGCCCACCTGATCATGCAGGCCATCTCGAAGGTGGACGGTGATATCAAGTGCATCCCCAACAACATGGAAAAATACATCTCGTTCTCGCTCCAACGGTCTGAGATTCATTGACAGCGCAGTTCCTCCTGTCATCGCCGATAGTTTGGTCAAAGCCAATGACACCTTCCCCATCACTGGTCGATACACCAATGTCGA